GTTCTCCCGATCCTCTCCCCGGTGGCCACTGCGGGGCTGGGCAGTGGAGGGAGGGAGACGGCGCCACCGCTGGGAGGCCAGGGGCCCGGCCTGCTCAACCCAGAGCTGCCCTCAGCGTCAGCAGGGCGCCCCTCTCCCAGGCTGCCACTCCCCAGGAGACCGGCGCCCTCAGGAGGAGCGCCGCCTGCAGGCCAGCCACTGCCTTCCCACAGGAAGAGCAGAAGGGAAACGGGGTGATGGCTCAGGAGCGGCTGTTTTCGGGGTGCAGAACCCCCGGCGCCCTCCGACACTTCCTGGAGGAGGGCTCCGTTGTGTTGTGCCCGGCGCAGGGGCAGTGACAGATTCCACGTGATGTGAAGGGAAATCTTATGGGAGCGATAATCTGGCCTGAGGCGGCCCACCGGGCAGAGCAATCGTTTTATGTGGACACTGTGGGCAGAACAAAGATGGGGAAAGAGAGGATGTTGGAACTGCCCTGGCCAGGGGGAGGCGCGGCGGGTGCCCCAGTAGGTTGGTGTCTTGGGTGTAGGTCCCTGGAGTGGCCCCTGCTGCTTCTCCAAGGATGCATCCCACCAGGGGGCGCTGGAGCCCTTCCGGAAAGACCCGGAGGGATGCTGGAGCGCAGCCCTGCCTCCTCTTCGGGATTTCAGCGGGAGGAAGGGTCCTCACGGCTCTGGCCACTGGGCCTCCTGATGTCAGGACAGCTTCTCATCCCCGCAGGAGCCAGAGCCCGGAGACTGAGGGGGCGGGCAGGAGGGCCACCCGCGATGGAGGGCGAGCCTGGGTGAGACGCTGTGCCCCGTGGCACCTCCCAGGGCCGCTCCCCTCCATGCCAGCCACCCTGGCCATCCCCGTTCCCCATGAGATCCCGCCTGATTACCGGAAGGCCATCTGGTCTACCACGGGAGCCCTAGAACGACCTGCAGGTTAGACCCCTGAGCAGTTACAGCCAAGACCGATTTCCCAGGGCATGTCCAGCAAGAAGGGAGGGAGAGAGGGAAGAAGATAGGAAGGGAGGGATTGGGGGTGGGGGGAGAGAGAATCATGGGTGCAGAGACAGGAGCCTTATGGGAGAATCTCCGGGTAATGAACTTTGGGGGCAGTCTGGGATAGGGCAGGTTCTTCCCTGATGAGTCATCAGTCTCCGTGTGATAGGAGCCCCAGGTGGGAGGGTTCCTCACAGACTCCCCCCCCCCCCCCCATCCCCATCCCACCCCAGCAGGTTCACTTTCAGCTTTGCAGTCACACGAACACCTGGTCACTTGAACTCCGTGGGTATTTGCGCTCCCCTCACCCACCCACGGAGGAGCTAGCCCGTGGAAATGGTGAAGAACTCACTTGTGTGTCCTGTCGGTTGTACTCGGTGAGTTATGCTACACGGAAACGGGCAGGAAATGTCCGTGTGTGTGTGAAAGGGGGCGCTGTCCCTCCCCACACGCAGGCCGCACGCCTGAGGCCAGGGCCGGCTCGTAGCTCACCCTGGAGGCAGGGAGACCCGGCTGAAGCCATGCCCCTGTCGAGCCCCAGAAGTCACCGTCTGTGCTTCTGATTTCCGTTCCCCTCAGCCGGCTCCCAGAGGATCTATTGAATTTGCTTTGTGGAGCCGTTAACTCTAAACTGAATAGCGGTGTCACTCTGGGCTCAGCGTCGGTGTGGAGCGCGTTCTTGGGGCACAGGCCTCTGCTCCTCCAGGACGGGATTTTAAGTCCGTTGGTCCTTGAAAAGCTTGACTCAATTTACCTGGAAGTTACCGGTCCTGAACTCACACCCAGAGTCCATTGCGTGCAGAGGTGGCGAAGAGCAAATGAGAACTCTGACAGAGGAGCTATTGATTATGTGGCTTCACTGAACAGGTAGGAGACTCCAGTGGCTGGTCAGTGCCTCCCTGCCCGCTGGCGTTCCCCTGGTGAAAACGGTAACAGTGACTACCACTGACTTCATTCTGGCCTGGGCTTGGTAGGAGGACCTGAGCCAGGTGAGGCGTTTATGGCGAATCCAGCTAACGAGCAGATCTAGCTAACAGGCATCATGCAGGCCAGTGGGCTTTCTTTGGAAGTCCTTTCAGCTGTGATGAAGTCATGAGCACTGCCTAGCAGACTCTCTGATCCAAGACGGGGAGGCAGGGGTGGTGGGTGGCTGAGGAGCTAGGAATCCCGGCGGGCAGAGGGGACGGAAGCACCCAGAGGGGACTGAAGTGCATGGGTCTGGGCGTCCTCGTGTGCGGGTGGTGACTCTATCTGATGCAGCTCTGGGAAGACCTGGAGCGCCCGGGCACGGGGTGGGAAAGCAGCATCCCCAGGGGCTCCCTGGGACGTGTTCCTAGACTAGGGCGTCATGGGAAGTGCTTGCCGAAGGGCAGTCTCTGCTCGCCTTGGCTGGAGCTGCGTCGGTGAGCTTGGACAGCTCACCCAAACTCCTCTAGGTCCCTTTGGCTCCAGCGGCTAGAACTGGATGTGTTTCGATGTTGGTGATGGAATCTGCTGGCTCCTCTGAAGGAGCAGAGAGGAGACTGGGTGTGCGTGGGAGGGGGAAGGGCTAGGCTGCCCTGCAAGGTTCCCAGGGGTGCGCAAGACTTCCTGGGCGTGAAAGAGGCTTCCTGGGCGTGGGCAGGGCTCCCGGGTGTGGGCAGGGCCTCCCGGGCGTGGGCAGGGCCTCCCGGGTGTGGGCAGGGCCTCCCGGGTGTGGGCAGGGCTTCCCTACATGGGCAGGGCTCCCGGGTGTGGGCAGGGCCTCCCGGGTGTGGGCAGGGCCTCCCGGGTGTGGGCAGGGCTTCTCTACGTGGGCTCGCTAGGCTGGGGGGCAGTTCTTGGTCCCAGGGGACCTCTTGCTCCTGAGTGACAGCAGGTGAGCTGTGTCAGTGCTGCCCATCGACAGTTGGGGTGTAGGCCAGGGCCTGCCAGGGCTCCCCTTTTGGGGTCCCCCATTTCTAAAGCACCTCCTGAGTCACTGTCAGCCCCTGAGAAACACAGCCTCCCTTGGGGGAAGGCGGGACAGAAGGAGAAAGGAAAGGAGGGGCATCGAAGACAGTACCCCCTCCTCATCCCTGGAGGCGCTCGGGACGGGGGCACCCTAGAGGGGAGTGGGGCTTATGCTCAGGCCTGGCACTTCGCCCCCATGCGCCTGCCTGGTGCTGCGCGGGGACCATCACGGGGTGGATGTGGCGTTGGCAGGGAGCGGCAGCAGGATGGTCCAGAACCTTCCCTCCTAACACACAGCTGCTACCTATGGCATCCCTCCGCACGGGTGCCGATGCTGCTGGTAAAGAGAGGGGACAGGGAGAGTGGGAACTGGATTCCCTGGGGCTGAGCCTGCTCTGCTCGAATTTGACGAGAAGACAAACAGGCCCTTTGGCCGGGCGGGGTGCCCGCTTCTGGTTGGATCAGCATGTGATTGAGGGGGGTTGCACCACCAGGCGGGTATGACGGACCAGCCCTTCCGACTACAGTCACAGCCCTGGGCCGCGGCCGGCCGGGCGCTGCTGAGCCACGCGCCCGCATCGCTGGTCTCCACGCGGGTTTGGGGGTCTCCGGGCTGGGAGCTGCCAGGCCCCCACTACCACACTAATCAAGTGTCTCCATTAAGCACGCAGTGCCAGGACCACCGAAACAGCCAGCCTGCTCTCAGGCAGTATTATTATTATTACCAGAGGCCTGGTGCATGAAATTTGTGTGTGTGTGTGTGTGGGGTTGTCCCTCAGCTGAGCCTGCATCCTCTCCAATCTGGGACCCCTAGAGGGATGTCCGATTGCCCACCAGGATCAGGCCTACACAGGCAGTCGGACATCCCTCTCACAATCCAGGACTGCTGGCTCCCAACTGCTCGCCTGCCTGCCTTCCTGATTGTCCCTAACCGCTTCTGCCTGCCAGCCTAATCACCCCTAACCACTCCCATGCCAGCCTGATTGATGTCTAACTGCTCCCCTGCCAGCCCTTTGCCCCCAACTTCCCTCCTCTGCTAGCCAGGCCACCCCTAAATGCCCTCCTGTACAGGGTTGATCGCCTTCAACTGCCCTCCCTTGCAGGCCTGGTGCCTCCCAACTGCCCTGCCCTACTTGCCTGATCACCCACAACTGCCCTCCCTTGCAGGCCTGGTTCCTCCCAACTGCCTTCCCCTACTGGCCATCTTCTGTCCACATAGGGGCAGGATCTTTGACCACATGGGGGCAGCCATCTTGTGTGTTGGAGTGATGGTTAATTTTGCATATTACTCTTTTATTAGATAGAACAGAGGCCTGGTGCATGGGTGGGGGTCAGCTGGTTTGCCCTGAAGGGTGTCCCGGATCAGGGTTGGGGTTCCCTTGGGGTGAGGAGCCTGTGGTGGTTTGCAGGCCGGCCACGCCCCCCAGTGACCCAAGTGGAGGCTCTGGTATCTGGAATTTATTTACTTTCTACAATTGAAATGTTGTAGCCTGGATTGGAGCCAAGCCTCCTGCTTGCTCAGTAGCTGCAGCAGTTTCTGTTTGGATTTGTTTACCTTCTATAATTGAAACTTTGTAGCCTTATGTGGAGGCTTAGGCCCAAGGGCAGGTGGAAAGCTTGGCTTCCTCCATTTCTGGGGAAATGCCTCCCTCCTGCTCTCTGCGGCTGTAGCCATCATGGTTGGGTTTATTTGCATACTTGCTCTGATTGGCCAGTGGGCGTGGCTTAAGGGCATGGCATGATGATTAATTTGCCTATTACCCTTTTATTAGGTAGAATTATTTGGTATTCTTCTTCCCAGTGGTAATGTTTGGCGTTGCAGGCGTGTATTGAGTGTTTCCCTGAAGTAGGCCATGGGAGGTCCCCTGCCAGGTGCACTCTGCTGAGATGGCGGGCTGGCCAGAGGGCATGGACACAAAAACCTGGCTGAGAGCGATTACCAGCTGGGCTACCGATGAGGCACTGCCCCAGCAGCTGTAGATGGGTGTGTCCTCCGCTCCGCTCACACACAGCAGCAGTGCCGGCCAGCCCTGGATTGATTGATTTATTCCTTTTGGAAAAAAGATATAAAAGACGCACACATCGGGTTGGCTTTTATTGGAACGCCTAGATGCAATCTATAGTCATCAAGTTATGGAAAATTCAGGTCACATAGAAAGTTAAGAAGGCAAATGAAAAGAACAATACAAATCAGACAAAATTTACATCTCAAAATATCATGAAAGCATTTGGACTCAGCTTTGCCTAAAATACTTTGAATATCAATTTCTTTTTTATTTATTTTTTTTCCTGTCACCTAATTCTTTTTTCATGACACAGTCCCCCCCGCACCTTCAACTCTTAGAAAACGGTCTTTTGTTTACAGATTCCCCAAGGTCACTGTTTCTCAGAAAAGCTCGTCCAGATCACAAGTCATTTTTTTTTTTTTTTTTTTTTTAAGAAAGAAATAGGCTCATGATACCTATGAACAAGACATGGATTGGGTTGATTTGACTTCATCTAAAATAAGCACCAGGAGGGACTGTAAATCTGTGGTCATGGGCCAGTGGGATGGACCAGTCCGTGTGGGGAGGAGGGCAAGATTAGGATTTCACTTCTCAGGGTCGTTTCTGAGAAGTCAGACTCAGCGCCCATTTCAACCAAAAGTACGTACAGCATGCTACACAGTCCCACCGAGGCGCCCAAGCCAGCAGCGAGAACAGAAAGCGGGGAACAGCCATGTCGGGGTGGGTCTGAAATCTCATAGTTTTCTAGATTGGGGCTTCGTAACGCTCGCAAAGGATCTCCAGAATAAAAAATACCAACGCTACTCTGTGCTTTCATTCTAATAAAATACCAGCATTCGTTAGGAGATTAATGACCTCAGTATGCTCTACCAAACACACACAGACAAGTCATAGCACTGAGACGGTCCATTCAGCAGCTATTGGAGACGCTTCCCAGCCAAACCTGTTTGAATAAACACGCCTACTGTGCAACTTCGGGTATGTGATACATACATAGCGGTTAGAAAATTATTTTCAATACGTCACTGGAACCTTTATAGTTACGACATGTTCACTCGCTATATTTTATCACCATTATACAGGGAGGGAAACAGTGTGTACTATAGCTCAATGAACTGGGAAATCTTTTTCTAAAAAATATTTTTGTGGCTGAATTTAGCGCTCACGGAAGAGGTTGGCGAGAGCGGCCGAGCGGGCACGGAGGTGCGGCCGGTGGCCGTTTAAAACGGCTCCCTGGGTGGCTGGGGCCTGTGGGCTTACGGGAGCTTTGGTCTCGCCTTTGGGGTCCCTCTTGGTGGCCCTGGGATCCACACACAAGGCTAGCGAGGGACTCGGACCTCCCCCATGTGGCTCTCTCCCACCTGCTGGGTTTTCTGCCGTCTTCCCTTGACCTCAAGACACGTTTATGGTCTTGGCCACATCGGATCCTTTCCTTCTCACGGTTTCCTGGAGCACCCGGAGTGGTGTCCCGGCTCCACCAAGGAATGGAGCTTGGAGGAACCCTGTGGTTAAATTCCATCCACCCCCCACGGTCTTTGAGGGCCCAGGGATGGCAGCGGGAACGCCTCCTGCCTGCTGTTTTTTATTTCGTACCTTCCATTACCTTCCACCAGCCTTAGTGTCCTACGGTGCCTCCCGGTGACTGTCGGCGAGGACAGCGGCCTGAGAGAGAGGGGAGGAGGAGCAGCTCTCTGGTTCGCCACCCACCCAGGACCGCACTGTCCTACCCGCCTAGCGTTAGAAAGCTGCACGACTTTTTCAACTGAATACAAAAATATGAACACTTCTGGATGTTATAGGCGTGAGCCGTTATATCTCTACAATATAGTCCTTTATACTGTACAGCTATAACCGGTAACAAAAGGTGCAATCCTTTTTTTTTTTTTTTTAATTTCTTAAAAAAATCACACAGGTCACATGTTTTTATCGTTTTATTTTTTTAAGTATAAACTTTTTTAAACACTTTACATAAATTAACTCCTCTGAGACTAATATTTGATGTACAGTAAATTGTAATTCATATAAAAAATCCATAAACAACTCGTCTCACATAATTTACAAAAAAATCAGGGTTTCCTTTGCTTATCAGTGGCAAGGATTGTATCTGCCAGTTTTTGTTTTTGTGTGTTTTTTTTTGGCCCCTGGGGCAAACCCCGGGAGCATTGCGAAATGCAGCAGGAGGTCAGTCCCCCTCGGAGCACAAGTCACGTGTGCCCACGTCCCGTTATAAGCAGCCCGGGCGCGCAGTCGGGTTGCCTAGAATTCCGTCCCCCGCTTTAACATGAACACAGATATATATGTCTCTCTATATATATCACACCCTAGGCAGAGACTGCTTCCCTGCAGGCCAAGGTCGACCCCGGGAAGCACTGTCCTCATTGTTACCCTCTCGGAGTCAGCGCCCCCCAGGGAACAGATGGCCCCGGGCCAAGCGGGAGGGCCTTTTGTCCGTTGTCCTCTCCTTATTCGTTCCTTTTACTGAGTGCAGCGATATGCGTATGTAAACATATTCGTTAAAGCCGATCACCTTTAAGGTCCTTCAGAAAAGGGGTTTTCTGTGTGTGTGTGTGTCTTTTATTTTTTCTCTTCCTTGAAATGTTTTTTTTTTTCTCCTTGAACATAGCGGTCTCCTTCTGGCGGAAGGCTCTTCTGCGCCGCTGGAGGGAGTCCCTGTCGGTCGGTCGGTCGGTCGGTCGGTCGGATTGTGCTACAGACAGATCTGAGCCGTGGAGGGCGCGGGGGCCGTGCGCGCCCCCAGCCCCTGCGCCTGCCCCCGCGCCCGTGCCGGGGACCAGGGGTTACCTCTTGCCGATCTCGCTCTGCCGCAGGAACTGGATGTTGTTGGCGCTGTCGGCCAGCTCGGGGTACTGCTCCACGGACAGCACGTAGTAGCCGTCGTAGCCCTGCACCTTGCCGGCGCTCAGCAGCTGCCGCTTCTCGCCCTCCGTCCAGGGCCGCGCGCCCTCCTCGCCGTCGCGCACGCGCCGCTGCTCGCGCGCCCAGGCCCCCGCGAGCGCGCGCTGCCGCGCCTGCTCCAGCACGCGCGCGCGCTCCTCGTCCAGCGACGCGCCGTAGCGCACGTGCAGCGCCAGCGCGCCGAACTGCAGCTCCACGTCGGCGAAGCGGCGCGTGCGGCCGTTGACCACGGTGGTGGACTGCGACACCGTCACGTTGACGCCGTTCTCGAGCGCGCGGCGGCCGCTGGTGAGGCGCAGCGCGCCCAGGTCGGCCTCGGGCGAGCTGGTCTTGATGAAGTGGTGCGTGTCGCGGCCCTCCACGGTGAAGTGCAGGTCCTGCAGGTACAGCGCGTGGTTCAGCACGGCCGCCACCTTGATGCAGTCCTCGTTGGCCACGTTGAGCACGTTGGTCTGCACGCGGCCGCGGCTCACGGCCAGCATGACGCCCTTGCCCAGCAGCGAGCGCACCGTGGCGAACCACAGCCAGGACGGCGCGCCCCCGCCGCCGCCGCGCCGGCTGGCCGGCGGCACCTCCGCCAGCTTCCCCAGCGACAGGAAGGCCTTGGCCTGCCGCGCCACCTGCTGCTGCACGCCGAAGATGGGCTGCGGGAGGGAGAGGGGGAGAGGAGGGGGGTTAGAGAGGGGCTGAGGCTCTGGGGCCGGGGGGGACAGGGGCCTGGCTGCCTGGTGGCCTGCGTACCCTGGACAGGACGGGGAAGGGATCTGGAGAGAGCTCCAAGGCATTTTTTTTTATTTTTGTTATTTATTTTTAAATATATGTGTATATTTAAATATATTTTATTGATTTTTTTTTACAGAGAGGAAGAGAGAGGAATAGAGAACTAGAAACATCGATGAGAGAGAATCGTAGATCAGCTGCCTCCTGCACACCTCCTACTGGGAATGTGCCTGCAACCAAGGTACATGCCCTTGACTGGAATCGAACCCAGGACCTTTCAGTCCACAGGCTGATGCTCTATCCACTGAGCCAAACCGGTTTCGGCTTTCAATATATTTTATTGATGTCTTTTACAGAGAGGAAAGCAAAGGGATAGAGAGTTAAAAACATCGATGAGAGAGAATCATCGAACAGATGCCCCCTGCACACCCCCCCTGGAGATGTGCCCGCAACCAATGTACATGCCCTTGACTGGAATCGAACCCAGGACCTCTTAGTCCCCAGGCCCACGCTCTATCTGCTGAGCCAAACCGGTTTTGGCTATTTTTATTTATTTTTTATTTTTGAAATTAAATTATTATCTGTGTGCATATCTTACCATGCCCCCGCCCCCCCCTCCCCCTAGATGCTCTCCCTCCCCAGAGTTTTGTGTCCATTGGTTGTACTTATACGCATGCATACAAGCCCTTCGGTTGGCCTTCCAAGGCATTTGTTAAAACCTCCATCCGTTCTTTGGAGATGAAAGGCTTAAAAAAACCCACCCTGAGTGGAGGAATGCAGTCCAGAGGCACAGCCCTCCAGGGGACCCGAATGCGCTCTGAAAGGCAGGAAGCGCGCACGCCGCCGTGCATTCAGGGCTTTTTAGCTTCTCACACGGGCAGAATGCTCACGCCTCAGCTTTTCTCTTTCCATTTCTAGAGGCCCGTCTCCTGCGTCCGTCCCATCTGGGGTGCCCGGTTTAACGGGTCCGTCCTCCCAGCAGCGCCGTCCCTCCCCCGGGAAGGCTGGGGAGCAGGCAGCAGACAGGATGTGCAAGGCTGGGGGTGCTCACTGCGCCCCAGGCACATGCTCTGACCTGTAAACCCCGCCCCCGCCCCGGGAACGCGATCTCAGGAGCATTTCACCAGTGAGACGGCTGAACTGAAACGTACCAGGCTCAGTGCGCCGTGGGTCAGCCGAGGATGGGGATTTAATACTTTGGGAACAAACATTTATTTTTTTGGAGACTCAGGGACAGGGCACAGGCTACACTGGCCAGTGATTTTATTTATTATTATTTTAAAATATATTTTATTTATTTTTTTACAGAGAGGGAGATGGAGAGAGAGTTAGAAACATGAGAGAGAAACATCCATCAACTGCCTCCTGCACACTCCCTACTGGGTATGTGGCCACAACCAAGGTACATGCCCTTGACCGGAATCAAACCTGGGACCCTCCAGTCCCCAGGCGGACGATCTATCCACTGAGCCAAACCGGCGAGGGCCTGGCAAACGATTTAAACCAGGGGGGCATCTTACCCCAGCCATTTCCTGTCCTACCAGATGTCTGTCTGGCCGGTGTTCCCCAAATGGAAACATCTGGTCTGTTTGCGGCCGTGAAAGAACATTTGTTCTCCGCACGCACGGGGGGCGGCCTCCGCATCTCTGCCGGAGATCCCCTAAGCTGTCCTTACGGGGCACGTGGCTCCAGAGAGAGCCAGTCAGACCTAAGTGTTTTCAGACATAACGGGGAGTCGCACACAATCAGGACACAGGTGTTCAAATGCACCGGGAAACTCCAGTGTGTCTGCACAGCGCCGCCCTCAGCGGGGAGGCGTGTGCAATTAGAAATGTTAAAACGGCCCCCTGGCCCCGGACGCCGGTGGGCTTTTGCTTTTTGAAATGTAGAGATGACATCTGCAAAAGGAAACTGCATTTTTGTTATGAAACATGTACCAGAAAACAGAGGTACTGACGTGGTATATGTGCTGTGTGTGTGTGTGGTGGGTGTGTGTGTGTGTGAGAGCCACGGCTGTCTTTTCTCTTTGTGGTCATTGAAATTACAGGAAATTGCTCAAGGGGCGGGCGGATGAGTCTTTGTAAGAAACTGCACTCTCGTCTCACCGTTACGGGGAAGCCCACTTTCTTGATCTTTATTTATTCTTGCTGTAAGCTAGAATTCTGTTGTCTTGTTGTGTATTCTTTCCTGACCTTTGAATGGTGCGAATTAAAAGGAGCGTTTTCTGAAATGGCAGCATTGGCTTTGCCATTTTCCCATTCTCTTTCCCCTTTTATTTCTCAGAACGAGTTCCAGGCTCCCGGATCTGTTATTGTCCGGAAAATTCCACGCGCACCGAGGCACGGGGAGCCTGCATTCTCTCTCTCCTTTTTCATCGTTTCCCCCGAAACACGGTCACTCTTTGGTAAAAGGCGAACTCTGCAGTGGTGTCTGTGGGCTGCTCATTGTAACAGGGACCCCCTGCCCTCTCGTTCATTGTGTCTTTGCCTTCAGGTCCCAAGGGCCATAAATGTGCTTTCATAGGGTTCTTTATTACCTTTTGATAATGTCTTTCCACGCTTTTATTACCATCGCTAAGAACAGACTGAAGCCTGTGGCATGGGCCCCTAGTTTGCTGAGCAGAAATGTTGTGTTTTTCTTCCCTCAAAGAGCCAGAAATCGGAAAGCTGTTTTTGGTACTGGTTTCACAAGCACGGTCTGATGGAATACGGGGAAACAGGGCCCCCGTGGGACATCTGCCCCCTCTCCCAGCTCCGCCTTTTCGGTTCTTACCGGGACGTCGTCCCACTGCTGGCTCTTCACCAGCTCGTAGGAGGGCTCCGTCAGGTCAAACTTGGGGACGGGGAACCCGGGGATGGCGTTGTGCAGGTGGAAGCCGAACGTCACCAGCCAGCTGTTCACATCTGGGAGGGAACGTCACAGAGCACAGGCGTTAGGGCTCATTCCGTGCTCTCCCACGTTCAAGTTCTTACCTGAGAGCAAGGCCCGGGTTCACACATGACAACCGGGAAGAGCGCACCTGTTCACCGGCACCCTACAGTTCAAAACCCACTCTCCCCTTTCGGACGTGAGGACTGTAACCCCGGCAAGGGCCGTGGGAGACGCGGAGTCACAGACTCGCAGGGGGACAGACGGAATGGAATACTCGGCCACGTGCGCCGGCTGCCTCCCGCAAGGGTGATGGCGATGGAACCAGGCAGGACGGTGCAGCCGCGGGGGGTGGGGGAGGGGGGGCGGGGGGGCGGGGGGGCGGGGAAGACCAGGGCTGTGGAAGGCAAATGGAACGTGTGGTGTGGTCAGCAGAGGCTGGCCTTCCAGCAGAAGGCGTGGCCCGAGGATATGCAGCAGCCCCTGACCCGTCTTCTCAGAATCAGAGCCCTGAGTGGAGAGGGTGGAAAACCCCGGCAGGTACTTCGTCAGGGACGGATGTGGAAAGCTGGCCCGGGGCGCAGCCCTGCTGGCCACCCCCAGCGAGGCCGTCGAAGGCGCCCTCTGCACGGGCGGGAACACGCTTTTTGGGGAGAAAAGCTGGGAACCTTTACGCTGGTGGTTAAAAGCGCTTCACGCGACCCCGAAGCCAGGGAGCTCAGGAGAGGGCGAGGCTCTCGCAGGCCCGCCCAGCAGGCGTGCAGCCCCAGGAGGCGGGGAGGGTGTAGATGGTTTTATGTATTAAGCTGGGAAACGGGAAACCGTTTCACCGAACAGAGTTTATGCTGGTCCCCCTCTCTCTGAATGTGTTTAAGGAACTGCTGCCGTGGCATTCCCTGCAGCCCACGCTGCCAGGAGAGAGGAGATCGGGAGCTGTGGGGCGTCCCCGCCTTCCAGCCAGCCCGTCAACACCTCTCACATACCCCGGGGTTCGCTGCCCGCCACAATGCTGGCGGCACTTGTCTCCTGTCTCCTTCTGTAGGGAACCAATTCATCCCATTGCCAGGCCGGCCGGCTCTTCGCCCAGGTATCATATGGCTCCAAAGTCAGCGGTATTCTCCCTCTTTTAAATGGGGGTGGCGGAGGTGGGAGAGAGAACCCCCACGTTCATCATGTAGGACAGAAAGGGATATCTATCTGTCTATCGTTCATCTGTCTTGTATTTAGAGAAAACCCTTTCTCACGGCTGGTGGAGTGTTGGAGGTAAGGACTCTCCTACTGCAAACCATGCCGTGTAGCCGTGAGAATCAGAGGGTGTTAAGAGTGAGAAGCACTGCCGCAGTGACGGGACATGAGCATGGAGGCAGACGGGAGAACCCCGAGGAGGCGGCCGTGGGGACACCGACCGAAGGGACTCCCAGCGGGCTCACGTGGCGGAGGGCTGCGGACCGCTTTGGGAATCCGCGGGAAGCGGAGGCAGACACAGAACAGACAGGCAGCACCGGAAGAGCCGTCCTGAGGACTGGGAAAACAGACATCTTGGGGCACCGGCAATGCTGAGCAAGGAAGTGACAGCCCGAAGGAGCATCTATCCACCACAGAAAACCCCAAACTAAACCGAACCAAACGGAAGACAAAACAAAAGACAAACAGGGAACACCCCGCAGGGAACTATAACAGTGGAGTGCAGCTCGGGAATGGAAGGCGGAGGCAGAAGGATTGAGTCCTCGCATGGAGGAGGAGTGAGGAAGGCAGCTACGTAAGGGAAGGAGGGCATGCCTGCTGGGCCCGTCTGTTTCAAGGGGGCAGAATGGGATCTGATGCTTTAAATCGGACCATGCTCTAACCCTGGGAAGCTCTTACATCTGTGCCCCGCAGACCAGCGTATCTATCAGTGGTTCGGGACTGCCTGCACCCCAGGGCAACGAAGATGGCAGTGGGAGGGGTCAGGGGTGAGGACAGACATAGGGTCCCCTGGCTGAGCAACTGATGGGAGCAACGGTTCCTCAGTTACCCTGAGGTGGTGGTGGTGGAGTGTTAGTCACACCCCTCCCAGGGATGGCATGTTGAGCCGCCTTGTGCTGCATGTCACATCCATCCTTTCCTTTCCATTAAAATTGACAGGACTTGTCTACAAAGCCACACAGCTGGCAGGAGGGGGAGGGGGGTGGGCCCGGAACCCCAAGTTCCATGGATTCTGCCTCTCCAGGTCACTTCCCTTCAGAGACCGAATCCCATGTCATTTCAGAAAACCGTGGCCTTGGGCATCGGCAGGCAGAACAGAAGGGGCAAACCATGCCTCCGTTTCCCTTTTTGGTTTCTCTGTGGTTCCACAGAGAAATGAATACACGCAAGAGGCATTTGGTTTGGCACCAGTCGAGCACCACGTTAAGAAAGAAAGCAACCGCAGTCGGCCCGCGCCTTCCCCCCGAGGATTACAGCGATCCCGTCCCCGGCCGGGCCTCGCGGCCGCGCTCACCTGTGATGTAGTCCTTCACGTCGTGGATTTTGCTCGCGGGGTTGTTGTTCCGGAACATGTACAGGTTGAAGGGGGCCGGGTCCTTCCCGATCCGCCTCCAGATCTCGATGTCGGGCGTCGTCCACCGCCCCGCCAGGATGTCGTAGTCCCGCTCCCCGAAGTGGATGAGCTTGGTGAGCGGGTCGTACAGGCCGCCGTGGAAGCCGATGACCAGCTGGAAGTCCACGTTGGAGTCGAAGTAGACCTCGCCGTAGGCCGTGTACTGCACCTGCTTCAGCATGAGCCCGTTGCTGCTGAAGACGGCCAGCGGCGTGCCCGTGTTGTCGGAGGCGATGTAGAACTCCTCGCCGCTGCTGATCTCCATGGCGAACAGGTGGCCCTGCAGGTCGTAGTAGAGGGAGGTGATCTCGGAGCTGGAGTGGTTGTAGACGTGGGTGATGCGCGTCGGGTAGGTGAGGTCGGCGTAGAAGAACTGCAGGTGCTGCCCGAGGCTGGTCTTGCTGGACACGCGCCGGCCCAGGCCGTCGTAGCGGTAGACCACGGTCCAGCCGCTGCCCTTGCTGTAGACGCGCGTGAGCAGCCCCTTGGAGCTGTACTCGAAGATCTCGGTGCCCCGCTGCCGCAGGAAGCCGTCCTCGTCCAGCCGGTACTGCACGTCCCCGAGGCGCGTGATGCGGTCCCGCAGGTCGTAGCGCAGCGGTGTGAGGCGGGCGCTGCTGCTGGGGTTCAGCAGGTGCAGGTTGCCGTTGAGGTCGTAGTTGTAGCGCCACATGATCTTCTCGTTGAGGTACACGGTCTGCAGCTGGCCGTCCACGTCGTACTCGTAGGCGTACTTGGTGGTGTTGGCGAAGGGCCCGATCTTGATCTCGCGCTTGGTGACGCGGCCCATGCTGTCGTACTGGATGGTGATCCAGTACATGAGCGAGCGGAAGATCTCGTACTGGATCTCCTTGATGCGGCCGTGGGCGTCGAAGTGCTTGGTGTAGGTCATCACGGCCGTGGAGATGATCTGGTTGATGTCGTAGTAGATGACGCCGAACTTGCCGAACTGCTCCACCTTGCCCGAGATGTCGTCGAACTGGTAGAGGTCGATGGGCAGCGGCGTCTCGTTGATGACGCCCTGCATGCTGGTGACGCGGAAGCTGTTGTCGTAGCTGTAGTCGAAGCGCGCGTTGACCATGCCGTCCTCGCTGAAGCGGAAGATCTGCCGGTCGACGAGGGGCCCGACCTGCCGGTAGCGGATGGTGCAGATGAAGCCCTCGCTCTGCAGGTTCACCGTCTTGAGCACGCCGGCCGCCTCGTCGTAGGTGAAGCTGACGCGCGTGCTGTCGTAGAGGACCTCGGAGAGCCGCGTCTGCCGGCGGTACTTGAAGAGCACGCGCCGGCTGGTGCCCAGGAAGGCTGTCTGCAGCAGCAGCCCCTCCTCCGTGAAGTCGGTGATGACCGAGGCGTTGCTCTCGGGCGGGTTGTAGATGTTGCGGTAGTAGCCGATGGAGCGCATGGTCTGCATGGTGTGGCGCGCCACGCTGGGCATGGTGATGGCCGCCAGCCGGTCCCACAGGTCGTACTCGAAGATGTACTGGCGCTGGCTGTGCAGCAGCAGCACCATGGACTGCAACGAGAGGGCGCCGTTACCCGGCGCAGGGGCGGGGGCGGGGAGCAATGAGAGGGCACCGTTACCTGGCGCAGGGGTGGGGGCCATGGACACGCGGAGACACGCCCCCCGGGGAAATGATTTTTTTTTAAAGGTATGTTTTTATTGATTTCACAGAGGAAGGGAGAGGGAGAGAGGAGACATCAGGGATGAGAGAGGATCGCCCATCGGCTGCCTTCTGTACGCACACCCACTGGGGATCGAGATCACAACCCGGGCATGTGCCCTGACCGGGAGTCGAACCCCCCCCCCCCCCGAGCGCACGGGGCTGGGCCCGGGAGTGGCAGCAGACCCACCTTCTCCAAGTACGTGTAGCTCCAGGTCTTGCCGTCGGCGAAGACGCGGGACACGATGCGGCCCTGGCCGTCGTAGTCCACCTTCTCGCTGGTGGTGCCGCGCTGGATGCTGGCGATCTGGCCCGTGGACGCGTAGGTGACGTTGACGGCCATCAGCTTGCTGCTGGGCAGCCAGAGCGTGGGGTGCCCCGAGCTGTCGTAGGCGATGCGCAGCAGGAACTTGCGGTGGTCGTCGTAGATCTTCTCCGTCTTGGTGGTGCGGTCGAAGTCCACGGAGAGGAGATTCCTGCCGTTGACCTGCGGGAACAGCCGCGGGGACGACACGGCGAGTCACGCCGACGCGGCCCCCGCCCCCGGCGCCCCGCCGCGGCTTACACACGCTGATGGCGATGGATTCTCTCTGTCAGTAATTAATTCCCCGACTTCCCGGGGGCCCGTGCGAGGCGGCAGATGAACTGCACCTCTAACAGGTTTCATTAAGCAGGACGACAGCCTGGCGTTTGCTCAGAGCCCCTGCAGTTAAACTCGGGAAACCCGAGTGACCGGTCAGAACGGCACCGCAACACGTCTGCCTTCAAGCTGGTTCAGAGGATAGGACCGGGGAAACAGGACATCGCGGCAGACGGCCCCGGGCCCTCCCCCGGGCACCGGGGAGAACTGCTCAGCTGGGTGATGGGGGCGGCATTAAATAAACTGCGGGACGGTAGCCCTCTGCAGGGCAGGTGAGTGTAAGCTGGAACCCACATCACCGTCAATTATGAATGGGCTGAAACAGCAGGAGGCTACACACACACACACACACACACACACACACACACAGCGGGGCAAACGTAGGTTTACTGTCGTGAGTACACAAAACAGAGTCTGTTACATAAGCCACGGCTTGAACCATTCTTACTTTCCCAGCCACCAGCCACTGTGATTCAACACGTGACATTTCAACAGACGCCTGGGAATGGGTCAGGCTCAGTTCGTCTGAAGGTGGTTTTCCTGGGACCTGTGGTTCAGCACGGAGTCTGTGTTGTCTTAGACTGAGCACTACATGGGCGTCCCACACCACCGCGTGCTTCCGAGATGTACTCGGCGCGGTGTGACGTGGTCACGCAGAGAACACGGCAAAGGTCAAGGTCACCAGCATGGGCAGGAATGTCATTACAGTCCTCTGAAACATTACATCAGTAGTGAGGAGGCGGGTGTTAGGTCTGACGCTGATACTTTCCCATGTGCCCAAACTGTACTTTAAAAAAGCCTATCTAATAAAAGGGTAATATGCAAATTGACCTTCACTCCAATACACAAGATGGCCACTCTCATGTGGTCCAAGATGGCCACCTCCATGTGGACACAAGATGGCCTACAGGGGAAGGCAGTTGTGGGGAATCAGGTCAGCAGGGCAGGGCAGTTGGGGGTGACCAGGCCTGCATGGGAGGGCAGTTGGGGGTAATCAGGCCGGCAGGGGAGAGCATTTGGGGGGGCGGTACCAGGCCTGCAGGGGAGGGCAACTGCCTTCTACTGTGGGCCTAGTCCCCCCCAACTATCCTCCCCTGCAGGCCTGGTCACCCCCAACTTGCCCTCCCTTGCAGGCTTGGTCCCTCCCAACTGCCCTGTCCTGCTGACCTGATTGTCCACAACTGCCCTCCCCTGCAGGCCATCTTGTGTCCACTTGGGGGCGGCTTGCAGGGGAGGGGAGTTGTGGGGGACCAGGCCTGCAGGGAGGGCAGTTGGTGGTGGGGGAGGAGATCAGGCCTGCAGGGGAGGGCAGTTAGGGGCAATCAGGCCGGCAGGGGAGCAGTTAGGTGTTGATCAGGCCGGCAGGGAAGTGGTTAGGGGGTGATCAGGCTGGCAGGGAAGTGGTTAGGGGGTGATCAGGCTGGCAGGGAAGTGGTTAGGGGGTGGTCAGGCTGGCAGGCAGAAGCAGTTGGGGGCCATCATGGAGGCTGTGCTCCATGCCATTCCCCGACTTCCCAGGAAGAACCACTGACAGCGACTGACACCGCCCTCCGGCACGTACCCTGAGCTTTCGGCCGAAGACGTTGACCTTCCCTTGGGCCTGCTCCTTCCGGAACCGCCACTCCACCAGGTTCTGGCCGTTCTCCCCGGGCAGGGTCATGTTCCTCTTGGCCATGGTGGGGTTGGCGGTGCCGGCCAGCACGTGCGGCTCCGTCTGGTAGTGGGAGTCGAGCCCGCTGGCGTAGATGATCCTCAGGGAGCCGTCGTAGCCGACCTGGTAGCTGTTCCTCAGCTGGTCTGCGGACAAGCAGCAGAGCGCGTGAGCCCACCCGGCCGGAGCCGCCTCGGGAGGGGACACCGATCTCTGGCATGCCGACCGGACTGCATGCATAAGGAAGTAACGACGGGTAAGGACGGCCGCTTGGAGGACAGTGAGACAACCCTGATTCCTGGCATTCCCCGCGCACCAGGTGCGCCGACTACGGGAGGAAAGGTCGGGGGAGGTTACAGGCTTCTCCACGTCAGTGGGTCCTTTCCTCACCCGCCTGACGAGCTAAACGGGGGCTCAGCCTCTGAGGGTCGGCAGTGAGCGTCCTGCAAAGAGCCGAGTCTGCGCTCTGCCGGAGGCGGGTGTCACCTCCAGGGTCTGGGGGACTCTCCTCCCCCACTCCCTGTACCTTTTACCAAAGAATGTGGAAAAGATTTAATAGCTATACCTTCTCTACCCCAACTATGAGGCAATAATTCGCCTGAGATGGACTTTAAAAAGAAGAGGCTCACGGCACATTTGGTACCCCAGACCCTTCACGTTGTAAGCTACCGCTTCAGCTTAAAATGCTCGCCTGACGTAGACCAGTGGTCGGCAAACCCAGTCAGCCAGCAGTGCGGCACATGGCGGTTGTGGCTCACAAGCCCCGGTTTGCCAACCACGGACATAGACGACTTGGAGAATAAATGGATCCAAGCAATACCAACGTCAGATGATGGTGCAGACTGCCTGACGGAGTTAGTTAACAAAAGAAAAGGGGACGAAGAAGTTTAACTCAGAGTTAGCAACTCCTCCTGAGGCGATGACCACACAAACGCAGTTGTCACCGGAAACGGGCTTTCTGAGGAGTGCAATGTAACGGAGACCTCGGGCCCAGATGCCTACGGCGCGAAGAACGCGAAGCGCAGATGTGACATACGTGCGTGTCTGGAACTGGGACAGAGTCTCCAGTGACCACAGCACGGGGGCCTTCGGAGACCGTGTCCCGGATTCCGCAAGGCCGTGCCTCCAACCCGGGACGCCCGGCGGTGAGGGTGACGGCTCAGGACACCAGGACGGGGACCCCGGCAGGGTCTGAGGACGCCGTGAAGCGTGGGGATACACTGCCTTGTTAAACGGGAATGGAAGGTTTCCAGGTTCACATACTGCTTTCTGTGCCACATAACTTTATAATATAATGCGTTCGGCGTCCCCCAAAACTGAATGCACACGCTAACAGCTGACAGCTCACTTCGTGCTCATTCCTTGTCAGGTTTGACTGATCTGAAATAGTGGGTGAAGCCAGACTAAGCATTGAACAAAGGAAATGTACTCTAAAGAGCCACTAGACTCCTTTTTTATGGGGACACACAGGGGCTAAAGTTCATGGTACAAAAGAGGCAACAGGCAGTGCAGGGAATGATGCCTGGTTCTGTGATTGCATCGCTGCGTTATCAGCAGCGTCTGGACCGGAAGGGGCATCTGTTTGAAAACAGGCATTGACAGAAATAAGTGTTCATTCCTGTAGATTCCTGTACCTTTGGAAAGTGAACAGTGACTTTATAACCATTCAGAATGTGTATATAAGAGTGAGCATCGACCTATGAACCAGGAAGTCACAGTTCAGTCCCCCATCAGGACACGTGCCCAGTGGGGTGTGTGCAGGAGAGGCAGCTGATCAATGATGCTAATCGTTGATGTTTCTATCTCCCTCTCCCTGTCTGAAATCAGTAAAAAGATATTAAAAAAACAAAAATAAAAATGAGGCCGTTCCCTCACGACCTCTGGAGGTCTCCACGCCCCCTGCCCCGGGCCCCGGGCCCCCTGAGACCACGAGGCGGCCGCATTGCCTCCGGGGCCGGGCCCGGGCCTGCAGGAGGCGGCGTGCTCACCTTGGACCATGGTGTAGAAGGAGTCGATGGAGGACAGGTTGGAGGTGATGCTGACGTCCTCGTCTCTGCTGGACGACTCCAGGTCCACGGTGATGGCCCGGTCCATGTCGCCGTGGAGATTGGTGACCACTCCCGTGGGGAAGGTGACGTTGGTCAGGCGGCCTTCGCTGTCGTAGCTGAGGACAGAGGCGGGGAGGGGCTCGGGGTTAAGTCGGAAACGGGGTTCTCCTACCCGTGTCCCTGCAGCCCCATCCGCTGCACCAAACGGGGAGAGGGTTTGTCTTCGTGCGAGAGCGGTGCCGACGGAGGACGTCACACATGCTTTGAAGGCGCCAAAGCCCGTTTCACACGGAAACCCTCGCCGGCGGGCGCGAGGCACCGGCACTGCGCACCCTCCCGGCAAACCGGTCTTTGAAGTGTGACCCAGACCTGCCCGCGCATCCAGTCCGCTGTTTCAAAGGGAGCCTGTCTGCCCATGTGAAATTCCTCAGCGCTCCTCCACATCGCCCACAGAGCAGACCCAATGCGCGGTCCTATCCGATGTTAAAGCCCGACTAACTTCTGCTCTGTATGGCCGTGCAACCCGAACACACATACAGCTTTGTGAACTAATGTGTGCACATACATGTATGTATTCGTGTATTGGTGTACTCGGCACAGGTTTCTGTCTGAGTGCATGCTTCCACTCTGAGCGCGCACCTTCCCCTCGCTCTGGGACGGCACAGTGCGGCTGCCCCGGGGAACTGGAAGAGAATAGCAGCTTCCCGAGTGCCGTCTATTGATGGGGCCCAAGCCCCGGGCTTCCACTTCACCCAGTTCACAGCCCAGCACATCCTCTCGCTCCGATGCCCCTCACAGTCCGGCTGGGAAAGAGCTGCCAGGCCTCAGGGCCTCTGCTCGCTCACTCATCACAGTGCCCTTCTCCGATGTCTATCTGCTGTCTCTGCTTTTGTTGCGCTTTTGCCTCGCCTTGCTGTTCTAGCCTTTGTGGGGTATTCTCTCTCTCTCTCTCTCTCTCTCTCTCTCTCTCTCTCTCTCTCTCTCTCTCTCTTAACTGGGATGAAAGGGGAGCATTTAATCTTTAATTAAATTGATTGGGGTGACATTGGTCAGCATGAACATATAGGTTTCGGGTGTGGGTCTCTATGTTACAAGATCTGTATATCGCACCATGTGCCCACCTCCCACAGCCACATCTTCTCCTGTCACCTTATATTAGGGACCCCCCTCTCCCCCAACCCCCTTCCCTCTGGCGACCACCACACTGCTCTACACTCTCTTCTCAAGTTTCCTAAGCAGGAGGATAAGGGCCATTCTCGGTGGAAAGGACGTATTCCTCCAGGGGGACGCTTTCTCTCCCTCACAGACTCGGAGTTCCCGGTCCCTCTCTGTGTCTTCATCACGCCTCTCACGGCTCCCGCCCCACAGCTGCCCTGGATTTCACCGGCCCTGCCTCTCCCGTCGTCACGGGAACGCGGGGGACACCACCTGTGAAGACCCCGCGGGGGACCCTCCCGGGGAGACGGACGGACTCGGACCGTGGCCACCCGTGTCAGCGGACGACGGGTCCGCCTTTGCTCACGTGGCAGCGTTCTGCGGATCACCCGTGGTCCTGGGTGCTCCCCGGGAGGACAGCCTTTGGATCCCCTTTGATCAGATGTTTTTAAAATTCACCTTCTGTCTCTGAGAACAAACCCGTGTGACTCAGAGCAGGGACCGGGAGCAGCCGGGGAACCCGAGAGGAGGGCTGTTGGCCGAGGCAGCCGGACCGGACCGGAGCGGGCCTGTCTGCGAACGAGGCACTCTCTGTACGGACGCCGGTCTGGGCAGCGCCCACACCTTCCTCCCTTCGCCGTGGCAGAGCCCACGGGAGCCTGCCCGGCGGGTGAGTGAGCCCCGATCGGGTTCTCGGGCTCTCGCCCGTTCTGGGAAGGCGGCCGGAGCGCAGGCTGGCCGGGCAGTCGAGGGCCTCGGGGCGGGGTCATGTTCCGCTGTCTTCCCCACCCGGCACCAGCCTGCCCTGAGAGCTGCTTAGTCGGGCACACAGTCTCCCTGCAGCCTGGACCCAGAGCGAGGACCCCCCAAAAGACCTGCCTGACCTGTCTCTCCCCCCGGGTCCCCCCGCCCCCATGCAGAGCGATACCCTTTCCTTCCATCTGTTGGAGTCGCTTAGGTTCACATTTCCTTAGGTGAACAGCCAGCGAAATCCAGGAAAGTCCCTCCATCTCGCCACCTGTTGAGCAATGCTTTTCCACTAACACTAGCGTGTAACAGCCTCTCGCCCGCCATTGTGAGGTATACACGCTCACTTACCCCGTGGTCGGCAAACTCATACGTGAACAGAGCCAAATATCAACAGGACGACGACTGACATTTCTTTGGAGAGCCACATTTTTTAAACTTAAACTAAACAGATAGGCACAGTGTTATTACCTTAATTAGGGTGCTCCCAAGCTGGCCTTTGCTGAAAACTCAGGGGGCCCAAGAGCCGCCTGTGGCTCGAGAGCTGCAGTTTGCCGACCACAGGTTTCTACTTAACTCCGCCAAGGAGTCTCTCCCTCTCTAGCTCGCAGGCCCTCGGAGGACCCCTGCAGCCGCGACAAGGCATTCCTGTGTCAGAGGTGGCCGCACGGAAAGCCAGCGACACCTTCAAACACGCCCGCAGCGCAGGCCTGAGTCCTGGACCGCGCGCCCCCTGCTTTCGCCCAGGCCGCACCCCTCGGCACCACCACTCCCGGCAGGTCTTACGGCCCCAGAGCTCTCCTGCCCAGTCTCCCCTGACGGGAACACTCTGTCTGTAATCTCCCCCGACCCCCGCCGTGGCAATACGGCCTGCCGCCCCTTTAAAAACGGGGCACACGGGCACCATTTTATAGCTCCAATCCATTCCTTTCCTATTGCAATCCTAGGTTTCTAACGTCATTCAGTGGAAGGGTTTGTTCCCAACAAAATCGAGCTGCTGGTAACATGCATTTCACTAAAGGGGCGTTTGCCAAGGAAGAAAGCAGCCCAGCTGGTGTGGCTCAGTGGTTGAGCAGCACTGACCCTCGAACCCCAAGGTCACGGCTCAATTCCCGGTCAGGGCACATGCCCAGGGGTTGCAGGCTCGACCCCCAGGAGGGGGTATACAGGAGGCCGCCAGCCAACGATTTTCTCTCATCCTTGGTGTGTCCAACTCTCAGACCACCATACTGCATCCTCCGAGGGTCATCCCGACGTACTTACTCGAAGAAGGTGGTCCACCCGGTCTCGTCGCTCTTGGTGGCCAGCAGCCCGCTGTTGCCGTGGTAGGTGAACAGGACCAGCTCCAGGCCCTGTGCGGTCATGCTCTTGAGGCAGCCGTTGGTGCCGATGGTCAGCCAGATCACCTGGTTGTCGGGGGACACCACGCGCACCGGCATGCGGTTGGGGTCGCGCCGGATGCGCAGGGTGTTGCCGCTGCTGTCGGTCACGGCGGTGATGTCGTTGTCGTTGCTGTAGCTGAAGTTGTACAGGTAGTCGCCGGTGACCAGGCTCAGCGTGTACTGGTGCGTGCCGTTGACGTCGAAGATGTAGAGCTCCTGGTCGGCAGGCGAGGCCACCTCGTAGGCGTTCGCGGAGCTGAGGGAGGGTCGGTTCCTGGACACGGCCCGGATGCGGATGTTGCCCAGGTCCGCCACGTACAGCGTGCCGTCGGGGGACGCGGCCAGGGACGACGGGGCGCTGAGCCTGGCGTCCTTGGCGTAGCCGTCGCCCGCCTGGTAGCAGTCGCAGTTGGCGTCGTTCTTGCAGTCGCACTCGGATGGCACGCCGGCCACCAGGGAGATCTCGCCGTCGGTGGTGACCTGCCGGATGCGGTTGATCTTCTTCTCGTCGGTCTCGGCGATGTAGAGCACGCCGCTGTAGGACACGGCGATGGCCGTGGCGGACTCCAGCGTGGTCTGCACGGCCAGCTTGCCCGCCGAGTACTCCACGCCGGGCACCTGGCAGTGCATGGGCCGGCCGGCGGCGATGCGCACCTGGCGGTTCTCGGTGATCTGCAGCACCACGTTGTTGTCCAGCACGTAGATGGAGTTGTCCATGGGGTTGATGGCCAGGTCGGTGGGCCACTCCAGACGCACCTGCGGGTGCAAGACAGAGACGGCCCGGTGAGCCAGCGGTGGGCGCGCCGCGGTTAGCGTGCCTGACGTGCACATGAGACGGTTTGGGAAAACCACCATTCATTTGAGAAGCTGTGTTCAAGTTGCCTTTATAAGGTGACCAGACGTCCCGCTTTTGGTGGGACAGTCCCGATTTTTAACAATTTGTCCCGCGGCGTTTTAAAAAAGTCCCGATTTTTGGAAAAAAAATTGGGACTTTTTTTAAAACGCTGCGGGACAAATTGTTAAAAATTTCTATGCTAAATTATAAGTTGCTAAATCTATATGCTAAATTATGATTTGTCCCACGGCGTTTTAAAAAATTTGTCCCACTTTTTTAAAACGCCGAGAGACGCGGGACAAATTGTTAAAAGGCGGGACTGTCCCGCCAAAAGCAGGATGTCTGGTCACCTTACTCTTGAACGGCTACTGTAAAACAAACTTGAAACATGTGCATGGCCCTGACCGGTTTGGCTCAGTGGATAGAGCGTCAGCCTGCGGACTCAAGGGTCCTGGGTTCGATTCCGGTCAAGGGCATGTACTTTGGTTGCGGGCACATCCCCAGTAGAGGGTGTACAGGAGGCAGCTGATAGATGTTTCTTTTTCATTGATGTTTCTAAATCTCTATCACTCTCCCTTCCTCTCTGTAAGAAATAGAAATATATTTTAAAAAAATGTTTTGTTGATTTCAGAGAGGAAGGGAGAGGGAGGGAGAGACAGAAACATCAACGATGAGCGAGAATCATGGGCATGTACCTTGGTTGCGGGCACATCCCCAGTAGGGGGTGTACAGGAGGCAGCTGATCGATGTTTCTCTCTCTTTGATGTTTCTAACTCTCTATCCCTCTCCCTTCCTCTCTGTAAAAAAAATCAATAAAATATATTAAAATTTTTTTTTTCATGAACACAAGTGTAGGGAACAGCATTTTGTTTAAAAAACGCAGCTTACTGAAAGATTTGCAGGCTACAGCCAAACAGCTGATGAGCCTCTAAGTAGAGAGTTAATAGATGTCAATGAGGTATGAACACAGACATTTCCGTGAGCAGGAATAACCGGCAAATGGCAGGCTCTCTCGTGTATATGTTCAGGTTCTATTATATTTCCAGAAAGGCCCGCAATGAAGTGCCTAGCTCTAAACGTAAGTCCTTGGTGCCATCGCAGGGGGCTCTCTCTCCTGCCTAAGGAGGTCCTGCAATAAAAAAGACTCCAGGCCTAAGTGGTTTGTGCTTTTGGGAGTCTCTGCATGCTGCTCCTTTCCTGGTATTTCATTACAAATGCTTAGCATTTCTTAGTTGTAATTATTCTGTAGCTCACTGAATTCATCAAATGCAGAACTATATAGAGGAAAGTAACCTTTGCCCGGCCAGCATGGCTCAGAGGTTGAGTATTGATCTATGTGTGAACCAGGAGGTCACGGCTTGATTCCTGGTCAGGGCACATGCGCCGGTTGTGGGCGCCATCCCCAGGGTGGAGTGTGCAGGAGGCAGCCAATCAATGATTCTCTCTCATTATTTTATTATTTATTATTTTTTAAAATATATTTTATTGATTTTTACAGAGAGGGAGAGAGATAGAGAGCTAGAAACATCGATGAGAGAGAAACATCGATCAGCTGCCTCCTGCACACCCCCTACTGGGGATGTGCCCGCAACCAAGGTACATGCCTTTGACAGGAATTGAACCCGGGACCCTTCAGTCCACAGGCCAACGCTCTATCCAGTGAGCGAAACCAGTTTCAGCTCTCTCTCATTATTGATCGGCTCTCCCTCTTTCTATCTCCCTCTCCCTCTTTCTTCCCCTCTGGGGGGAATATATATATATATATATATATATATATATATATATATATATATATATGAAGAAAATAATTTTTTATTAGCTCCTAAGACACAGTTAAAAGGGATTGCTTTATCACACCACTGCCCGCCAGGATACAGGCAGTGTGACTGGTGCCGTCACAGCCTGCTGACCCTGCGAGCGAGACCCCGAGAAGAGAAACCGCTCGGCTGAGCCGGAGCTACCTGGCTGATGTGCATGCTTGTGTCACAGGTTAAAGGTCTGGCCGACGTCAGGTCATTCGAGCCCAGGAGGGTCGAGATGATCCCGTTCTGGTCAACTTTTCTGATCATGGTCCCATCAACGAAGTAGATCAGTCCATTCTTGTCAACCGCCATTCCTTGATCCAAGAGAAGCAAGGGTTAGTAAGTTTTCCAAAAAAGATTCAACGGTTGATGCTACATTTAGGCACCATCACTCAACTCCACAGTTCACTTCAGGGATAACGTGGGCGGTAGGGAGCAGGCATTAGTTACTCCTAAAATGCAGCAGATTGCAAACACATTAGGAAAAACCCAACATGGGTGTGAAACACACAATACAAACACAGGTACACGGTAACAAAGAAATAACCCACCTTTGTGAGAATTCCCACTTGGTGTGTGTGACACATATACATCGGGCATTAAACGTAAGACTATAACGTGGGGGTTAAATGTAAAGCTATAATGTCTGTATAATGTTGTCTATGCATTATAGAAATAGGTCAAATTTGGTCACACTGAGCTTACAGTACCTAGCATAGCCCCACGAAAATAGATGCGAGCCAAGGTGAGTATTCTGTCGACCTTGCTACAGTGAAATTGGCTATTATGAATAATTCAGGGCAGCAAATACTTTCTGCAGTCACTGCGCACAGAACAGCTGCTAGCTGTAATGAAAAGAAATGGAGCCCTCAACCCCAAACACCGTAATGAATGGCATAATACATGAACCAGGAGTCGGTCCCCATGGGCTCAAAAGCTAGAAACCTTCGTCGCCTAGAATTCAAGCTCTTGTTCTCTCCAGAAATTCCTCCCAGCAAGCATTTTTCCCCCCAGGGCAGAGAAACAAAAGCCTAACATCTCCAAATGGGGTGCGGGCTAAGAGGGCTGCTTCGTGGCGGTTTTCGGAGGCCAGGGACTCATTCACGACGGAGGAATTCCAGGACGATGAAAGAAGTCGGGCACTTCCCTGACGTTTCGCGGGATGTGACTGAGTAACAGTAGCTGCTTTATTCTTCGCAACGTTGAAAAAAAAAAATGGCCTGACAATAAAAAAATTGCCAAGAACCCCAATATTTACTGTAACATCAGCTCGCGTTCAAGTTCAACGGCTTTTACAAACGCTGGGTGTGCAGTGGCATCCCAGAGAGAGCCGAGGGTGAAACGTGAGACCCCGCAGTGAGCCCCACCCGCACTGACTGGATTATCTACCTTTTTATTTCAAAAAAAAATTTTTTTTTTTTAAATAGAAGGAAATTCCCAAACTGGTAAAGGGCAGGCGGTACCTTTGGGACTCATGAGTGTCGCCTCCACAGCCTTGCCCCCGTCCCCACACCGGGCTTCATCGAAGGGCAGGCACTGCTCCCCGGTCCCCGCGACCACGTCGGCATTCTTCGTCAGGTCCTTTGCCCCCGTCAGCGACTTGGGGCGGTAGATCCTGCGGGTGTTGGTGTCCGAAACGTACAAGTCTCCGGTCACGGGGTCAGTGGCTAGGTAGTATTTGTGAGCTGGGTTGCTGCTGTAAGAAAGGATCATACGTGAGCCCTACCATGTATGGGGAGCTACTCCTCATATGCAGAGAAAGAGCAACAGCCCACCCTGGCAACACTGTAACCAAACAGCCCACCCTGGCAACACTGTAACATAACAACCCACCCAGGGCCACACTGTAACCAAATAGCCCGCCCTGGGCAACACTGTAACCAAACAGCCCACCCCGGGCAACACTGTAACAAAACAGCCCATCATGGAAAACATTGTAACCAAACAGCCCGCCCTGGGCAACACTGTAACCAAACAGCCCGCCCTGGGCAACACTGTAACCAAACAGCCCACCACGGGCAACACTGTAACCAAACAGCCCACCACGGGCAACACTGTAACCAAACAGCCCACCACGGGCCACACTGTAACCAAACAGCCCACCACGGGCCACACTGTAACCAAACAGCCCACCCTGGGCAACACTGTAAACAAACAGCTCACTCTGGGCAACACCGTAACCAAAAAGCCCACCCTGGGCAATACCGTAACATAACAGCCCACCACGGGCAACACTGTATCCTGCAGTCAGTACCAAAAGCCTGAAGATGAGCAGTGACTCACAATGACCTACAGGAGAGACTTGGTAGAAGTCTGGCCAGGTGGCTCAATGTTGAGCATTGACCTATGAACGAGGAGGTCATGGTTCGATTCCTAGTCAAGGGCACATGCCCAGTTTCAGGCTTGATCCCCAGTTGGGGAGTGCAGGGAGCAGCTGACCATTGATTCTCTCCTGTCATGGATGTTTCTCTCTCTCCTCCACCCCTTCCTCTCTGACATCAATTAAAAAAAAAAAAAAAAAATATATATATATATATATATATATATATATATATATATATATATATATGTATATAAAAGAACTGGTAACGATGTCTGACATGACTATTCCTTCCCATCTTATAAATAACTACCTTTAGAAGATGATCTGCTTCTTGCTTAAAAGACAGACGCAAGTTCTCTAAATCTTTGTGGTTTTGGGCAAAGCCAGTAAGAGATCGCCCTTGAGTGGCAGGAACAAAGCTCCAGGAAGGTGCTGCTCCCAGACCCTCCGGAAAAGCCTATACACCTTCAGTTTCACCTGCACCTCTTCACGGGGATTCTCCTCTTTTCTCCCAGAAGACCTAGCCACAGAGCAGCCGCCCCTGAGAAACCATAGCAGCCTGTCTGTCTTGGTGGCACCATTGTAATCTGGCAAGGTTGGTTTCACAACTATTAGCTAGTGCAAATATACACCATTTTATGTCCTACTAGAGGCGGCAGATTGTTGGAGTCTGTCGGCAGGAGGGGCATGGTGACCTTCCCGGGAGTGACTGAGGCCCCCATTCCAGAAATGTTTCCGTTCACAGGAAGACCCTCGCTAAGAAGAGCAACATCGGAGAAACTGAGGTCAGGGTTAGACCGTTCAGCATTGTGCACCCTGGTTCTTAGCTCACCCAAACCGCCTGGCTAGCCTCACTGCCCAGCCGTCCCTGTGGCCTCGTCCCACTGGGCCCAGGCCCACGGGGAAACACAGACTAGGCTGCTCCCTCATCTGGCCCTAACTCAACCTCGTGGACTAGAGAAATGTCAGCCAAGAACAGGCTACCCACCGGCGGTATTAGCACTTTTATTTACCTGCTTAGTCAGAAACGGTGGGCAGCCCTGGGAAATGCCTGCTTCCTGGCTGCCACACTACGACGGGCAAGATCATCAAAAGCAGGGGTTTCTGCCTGCTTCGTGCTTTACACGTGAAGCCGATGAAAAGTGTGCTTTTATAATTTGTATCTAAACTTTAGTTGATTCCGATTCACAGACATGTGACCCATGTGTCCTTTTATCTTTTAATGGCGATATAAGCCCCACAAGGTTGATTTTCAGTCCCTGGCTAAATACTGAAATGCCCGTGGCTTTGGCTGGTATCAATAAATTTAAGTTCCTTTATTTCAGGAATTTTAAGCATTGTAATAGAAATGAGTGGAAATTTACTATGAAAACTACAAGTATCCTATGGAGAAATTTTAGCATACCTAAGAGAAACTTATCTTTTAAGCTTCTCAGAAGCTCCCATCCGTATAAAAAATTGAACATGTTGGTGGCGGTAGTATTTATCATATATCTCTTTATTCATTAGAGCATCGCTAGGAACTTTTATTTGATATAATAAGCTGGCAGTACTTACTAACTTGAGTGTGCGGAAATATTCCAAATTTTCAAATAATAAGACTGTGATTTTATATTTATCATTTAACATTCATATTAATTAGTTCCCCCACTAGTGCAATTAATGAGATGGCTGATAGTATGTGAAACATCGTAAGAGGACCAGAAGCATGCATTTTTACATTTTGGTTAATTATTAACAACTGACTACACCACTCGTTTTTATAGATGTTGACACATTTTCCAATTTATTTTTCTTTCCGGTCACCTGCTCCTAGGTCTTTCATGACTTTTACACTAGCCAGAAAAGAGGGGGAGGACAAGCCAGGGGACCCCCCCAGGCCGTATCCCCTCAGCTACACGAGGGAAATGGTCTAGGAAGGCAGCCAAATGGGAAGCAGCATCGGAAAAGAATTCTAATTTTTAAAGCTAAATTAAGAAGCTCCAATATCCTGGCTTTGATTAATTAATTAGCTAATTAATCAAGTATCAATTTTGACTGATTGCTTATTAAGCTATTCTGGTCAATGATTTATCATCGCATGACGTGGGCTCAAAAACCCTGGATAGTTTCTACATCTCCCTGTTCCTTGTCGCCCATATGCAGTGTGTCCATTCCCTTCATTTCTTTGTTTCATTGGTTGATTTCCTTCGTGACAGCCATCCTAGGGCAGGCACCTACCATCTCCCGGTTCTCTAACTCATCACCACGCCACCCTGGCCACTGACACCGGACCGAACCCGTCTTCCTGGGAGGCTGCCCTGAGTACGCCGCCATCTTGTTCAAGGTCAGGAAAGGGTTCCCGCAGAGAAGAGCCATTCCTTAGGGCGCTCAGGCCCTCAGCAAGGCCCTTACCTGCCTTACCTGCCTGTCCCCCCGTCTCCCTCATCATTGCTAACGCGAGTCCCCTGCTCAGATTCAGGTGGGTCCGAGTACCTCAAGATGTATCTTTTAAAAAATATATATATATTTCATTGATTTTTTTTTACAGAGAGGAAGGGAGAAGGCTACAGAGTTAGAAACATTGATGAGAGAGAAACATTGATCAGCTGCCTCCTGCACACTCCCTATTGGGGATGTGCCCGCAACCAAGGTGCGTGGCTTTGACTGGAATCGAACTTGGGACCCTTCAGTCCGCAGGCCAATGCTCTATCCACTGAGCCAAACTGGTTAGGACCCAAGACATATCTTATTCATCTCCTTCCCAGACCTCAGTAACTTCACTTGCTCTCTTTTTGCTTCCTGACTCTCCCCTCCTTTCTTCTGGTGGTTCTATTTAAGACTTCTTTGTTGTTGTTGTTGTTGTTGGTCCTCATTAGAGGATATTTCTCCACTGACTTTAAGAGACAGTGGAAGGAAGGGGAAGAGACAGAGAGAAACATCGATGTGAGAGAGACATATCTACGGGTTGCCTCCCACTTGGAGACCAGGGGCTCCAAGGAGTGAACCCACAATCGAGGTACATGCCCCTGCCTGGAATCAGACCCCCAGTCCGAGGGCCGATGCTCTATCCACTGAGCCAAACTGGCTACGGCCAGACTTCATCTATTGACTTACATCAAATACCAACTCTGCAAGGAGACTGCTCCTCACCACTCCCATCCCCCCGCCTCCCAGGACCCTCTTCCTCCCCAGAACCGCGCTCTCCGCACGAGCTGTGGATGTGATGAAGTGTCAACGAATGATATGGAAATGCATGGTCCGTTACACCTCTATCTTGCTTCTCCTATGACAGTGAGCAAACTCCTTCGTCTACAGAGCCAACTATCAACAGCACAATGATGGACGTTTCTTTGGAGAGCCACGTTTTAAACTTAAACTTCTCCCAACGCCACTTCTTCCAAACAGACTCGCCCAGGCCGTGGTATTTTATGGAAGAGCCACACCCAAGGGGCCAAGGAGCCGCCTGTGGCTCCAGAGCCGCCGTTTGCCCACCACGGCCCTCTGAGATTCCGAGGCCTGAGAGCACGGGCTTGGTCTTCTCCTATGGCTTGTCCACGTGGTTCAGTGATGAGTGAACATGGATCGAGTAGAGGAGGACATCGACATAGAACCCGAACGGTGTGCGTCCCAGGCAGCACATGGAGGGACAGGCAGGAGCACGCACGGGGCTGGGGTGACGTGCAGAGAGAGGCGGGAGGCTCGGAGCATCATGAGAGAGGGACCCACAGCATCACGGCCACCACCACGAGTGAGTGCAGCACGCGTTCACGTGTAAAGTGTTGTTAATAACAGCGAAGCTCTAGCCACACGGGCTTTTTCTGGAGAAAGAGGCTAGAGTGCTGACGGATCTGTCAGATGATCACGGAATCCATCTAGCCTTCTAAACGGGCCGTGCTGCAGTGGGAAGCGCACGCCCTGTAGAGCGGTTCAAACCCCTGTCCCCCACTTTGCAGTTAGTACCTTGGGGAAGACAGGCGCCCCTTCCCGAGTCTCAGGGACCTCTCTGCACCCCGAGGACGGTGGGTGGCTCGGCAGTGGCGTGTGGAGTGTCTGTCCTGGGCACTGATCTGCTAGTTTTTCCTGCATCGCCTCCACACGTCCACGCTCAGTGGGAGACATGCCTGTGTGTGTCCCCTGTCCTCCGCGGCCCCCGGAAGGCAGGGCCAGCGCCGTGCTGACGTTCTGCCGGGTTCTCACACCCAGCCCGGCCTCGAGGGCTCCGTGTCCCTCTCGGCAGCCCCAGGCCCACGGGGCGTCTGCAGAGGCCCGGCCCACGCCGGCTCACGGGGGCATGCGGCAGCCACCCCCTTCCCAGGGCAGTGTGCTCCTGGCTGCCAACCTCCGCAGGACACTACAAAGGCCAGGTAGCCGGATCCCTCTCCGGGGTCTCCCATGGCCCTCGGCCACTCTCCCCCGCCGACACCGTCCATCAGGGATTGGCATGGCCGCGCTGGGCCTGGCTGGCGGTCTTGCATTTCTCTAGTTTCACTTTAAACACTGTTTTTGCCCCTTTCCTGCTGCCGGGGGAAGTGCTCAGGCTGACGGCCACAGCGGACAGCAGCGGGGAAACCCAGCTCTGTGCTGCTCACCTGCACCATCCCGGGCTGCGAGGAAAGTCCTTCCTCCGTCAGGAAGTAGAAACGCAACTGCTTCCACCTCTGGTCGGGCACCTCCCTCCGCTCAGGGAAGCGGGAACGGCAGTGGGAGTTCCCCGGGGCCACTCCCCGTGGGCCCTGGGGAACCCACACGCCGAGGGCCCCTGAGCCCGGCCACGCCCATGGCAGCAGGTCACACAGTCTGAGGTTTGCGAGAACTTGCCAAAGTAAGGCATGTTGAGATGCTTTTTCTTGGACAGAGGGCCCTGCACTGAGTACGCTCTGGGCCCGATCAGCTGGGATCTACCCTGGCTGCTGGTCAAACTCAACTCTCCTTCTTCCCCCCACTGTGTGTGCATCGTGTTTGTTCCGCTCACAGGCTTGGCTGCTGGGAGGCAGTAGCTGGAGTGGAGAGGTGTTCTTTGTTATACGAACAGGTTCATTGTAATAATTTCTGGTCACAAAATTCCATGGATCGACATGAAAATAGTTTTTGGATTGTATTACGTCATTTGCTCAGGTCGCATGATGCTGGTCCTTGGGTGGTTTTACCTCCTCGGATGCCTGTGGTGCCGAGGGCCCTCTCTCATGATGGAGCAAGGTCAGAGCATCGCATAGAACGCAAGGACGTGAAATATACAATGGCCTTTACGCCAGGAGCTTACCTATGTCTAAAATCTTTATTTCTTGGTGGAAGCAGGTAAAAGAGGTGAAGAAAGCACAGTTAGAAAAGGTTTCTAAAATATAACGAGTGGACTACTGAGATTTTTTAGTGATTTGTATGGAAAACGGCCGACGTAAGCAGAAACATCCCTGGGAATTAACTGTGTAGGTTAAGGCTCATGAAATAACGCACAGAACAGAATGACTTTGATAACCACACTGAGACAAACAGAGCCGAGACAACAATTCGTTACTTTAACTACTGGCATCATGGCTAAGAATGTAGGAAAATGACTGTAGTTACATATTGCTTGCCTTCATGTCACTCGCTGTGAAATAACAGAGTAACACAATAGAGCACAAGGTTATTCTAGAGACAACTTTAAAGACACGGCTATTCTAGAGAGCTTTAAAAAAATCATAGTTTTGTTGTCTGGGAGAATAGAAAATTAAAATCAGTGAGACATTTTATAGATTAGGTGACTTCATACTTATATATTTGCGAATATATCTATCTATATCTATATCTATATCTATCTATATCTATATCTATATCTATATCTATATCTATATCTATATCTATACCTATACCTATACCTATATCTATATCTATATCTATATCTATATCTATATCTATATCTCTATTATATCTATAGTGCTTTTTCCCAACTTTAACCAAGAATCCAGCTTCCGTTTCTGGGCAGAACTGTCGCATTGGGAAGGCACGTTTAAATCAGTACATCAGGACAGTGAGATGGACCTTTGACAGAGGCATGCTGAGCGTCCGTGGGAATCGCAGCCAGGGAGACACGTACCTCAGCTCCAGCACGCTGGTCACGTTTCCGGAGGGGAAGATGCGGCGCACGTAGTTGAAGTCGCCCACATAGAGGCTGCCATCGATGCCGCAGGCCAGGGCCACAGGGGCCAGCAGCTTGTTGCCGTCCGCCTGCCCGTTGCAGCTGGGGCAGGAGATGCTGCGCCGGCGCCCGTTGCCCATGATGCTGCTGACCACCGGGGGCTGCTGGGAGATGAACTGGTTCTCGCCGTTCCCCTTGTACAGGATGCCTAGGAGGAGGAATGGATCTCACAGCGCCGGCGCATGGAGGGAGAGCCGGCGGGTCACCACAGCTCTGGCTCTCACCCAGCGCTGCTGGGAACACTTAAAATAACGGATTTTTATTGAATTCAGAGAGGAGGGAGGGGAGAGAGAGAAACATCAGTGATGAGAGAGAATCATTGATCGGCTGCCTCCTGCACGCCCCACACTGGGGATGGAGCCCATAACCCGGGCCTGATTCCTGATCAGGAACTGAACTACGACCTCCTGGTTTATAGGTCGACACGCAACCACTGGGCCATGCCTCCTGCCGGGCTGGAAAAACTCTTATTTCAAATTCTATTGTAAAGAACCCAATTTGATTCCCTAGGCCTAGGGGAAAATATCATGACAGGACACACAGGATGTATGTATTAAACAATGCTGTCTGTTGGGAGTTTAAAGAATGTCTGGTGAGAGAAACAAAGGCTTGCTAAGAAGGAGTAAACACCCAAGTTCTCCTCCTCAGAGGTTCTGAGACGTGGCTGCCCAGGGAGCCTGGGTCTCGCCTGGAAGAGTCTGGCTGAGCTGGTGTGAGTGCGGCCTTGACACTGAGGCTTTAGGGTTCTCCAGACGACCCTAACGGGCAGCCGAGTGCGAGGCCCCGGCTCTCCATGATGTTCCGCAGGAGACAGTGCGTGGACCTGGCTGTTGAAGGATGCTGGAAGTTCTAGAAATGGATCCAGTTCCTAACAGCGTGCCCCATACTGTATCTTACTTCTATGTGAGATCCAAAAATAACAGCAACCACCAAACACAAGCACGCCCTCAGACAGAGAACAGCCCGGAAGCGCACAAAGACCCGAAGTTAAGAGGAGCCTGGGATGACGGAAGGAGCCCCACTCACCGGAGCTGCAGACGCTGCCGGAAGGACGTGGCTCCCTCCCCCCAGCACCACCCGCTGCCTCTGCTCCCGGCCAGCCACAGCCGCCACAGCTTTCCCCGATTGACTCCCAAACTCAGAACAGCTGACCTCCCCCCGCCTCCCGCACTTGCCTAGGGTTTGCCATAGTTGGCTTGTCCCGTATTACAGATCCTCTGCTATTCCTGAATACACTCATTTTGTTTGCTAAAAAAATAAAGAGTGTACCATAATATAGAATATAAATGTCTTCCTTAAGAGTTTGTCATTGGTATCTATTTATTTGGGAGGGGGGGAGAGAGAGAGAGAAAGAGAGAGAGATTTATTGTTCCACTTATTGTTGCATTGATTGATTGATTCTTGCATGTGCTCTGACTAGGGATTGAATTTGCCACCTTGGTGTATCAGAATGATGCTCTAACCCAGTGGCTGGCAAACTGCAGCTCTCGAGCAGTGGTTTGCCACTCTGTGGACTAGTGAGTTTGCTGACCACTGCTCTAACCAACTGGGCCCATCATTGGTTTTGAAAAAAGTTAAAAATACTTTTTGGAAAAGAGTGTTAGGAAGTATAGAGCAAACCTCCAATATTCTACTACCCTGTCAAAGAATCTCTTCCTTGCTTTTCCTCTTATCTGATATAAAAAGGCATGTACCTCCAGTTATTCAAAATGGCAAATATAAGAAAACTGCTGTGGGGTGGGTGGGGTGGGATTCATGACCGAACATGCCTTCTCCTGCAGGGCACTAAGTGACAATCATGTTAAGAAGACAAAATGCCAACCTGCTCCTTTATGATCTTCAATGAAAATCTGAGAAAAATTCCAAATGAGAATGAAGCATTTTCCTAGTTAGGAAGGAGCTGAGTTGGGATTCTACTTCTATTCAGTTACCATGATTATATAGAGGTCTAGGGTTCCATTTCCGCCTGGTGCATGGTGGGCTGTCAGCTGTCACTGTTCCGGGCAGATCTCATGGCCCTTTCAGTGTGTGATCTGTATTACTCCCCACCCCCCACTTTAACGTTCGAGCTGGCCATAGTATACTCCTTGAATGATCTACACTGCAAGGCATATGTAGACACACAGTAGGCCCTCAGGTTACCTTGGAGATCTGTTCCTAAGACATGACGTAATGTGATTTTTTTGCACCAAGTCGGACCCCACCTACATAAGCACCTATGTCACTCATATGGGTTACGTACATGGCAGTAATGAAACAGTAAAATAAACCTTAAAAGATAACAATTCCTGACCTTTACTTATGGTAAATAAATAATAAAAAACAGAAAGCACGCATGTACGTATGTCAAAATGACGGAACTTAAAAAAAAACAAAAAAACTAGAGCTTGATGCACGAAGATTTGAGCAAGAGTAGGTCTTCCTTCCTCTGGCAGCTGGCACTGCCTTTGCCCTGGCCAGAGCAGCCTTTCCAGTCTGGACTGGAGCTGCCTTTCCGCCTTCCCATGCTGCCCAGAGGCCCAGAGCGACTGGGATGGTGTGGAACGACCCGCCCCCGGCCACTGGGTGCCTGCACATGCAAATTAACCCGCCATCTTTGTTGGGCTAATTTGCATACTCACTCCTGATTGGTTGGTGGGCGTTGCGAAGGTACGATCCATTACCATGTTACTCTTTTATTAGGTAGATGGGAGATGGCGATGTAACCACGAAACAATGTATGTGGAGTGCGACATAACCTGAGGACTGCTTGTGTGTGTGTGTGTTTATGTGTGTGTGTGTGTGTATGTGAATATATATATATATATATATATATATATTTAGCAGACAAACTTAAAAGAATCAGTCCTATGAAAGTACAAACAGGAAATATGAGAGATTATTTTTTCCTCCCACTTTGGGACAATTTTAAAGCGAAGGAGAGGTAAAAATAATGACATTCCCCTTGGAGTTGAGCACATTTTAGGTGGATTCTAGGATTACTTTTTTAATGCTCTGCTATTTGGGTGATGCAACAATCATAGCCAACTCACGTAAGGAAATCAGAGAGAAAAAAACAGGTGTAATCATAGTTAAGAAAAAGGAATCTAAATAAGACTAGACCATCACAACAAATAAATCGCATTTCGCCTTCCGTACCTAAAGGCTACATTAATGACAGCTCAGATCCTCCTTGCTGGGAGGATGTCATCTGACAACCATGGAACTCCAACTTCCTGTGAGAGCCAGAGCTGCCACCTTCACAGAGGAGCCCCCTGGGCCAGCCCACGCCCTCCTGCGCCGGCTCGCCCCGGCATTCCCTGAGCGACGGCCGAGCCTGAGTCTCCTCTCCTCTGACAGAGCAGAAGGAGGAGCGCTAGAATGTTCCGTTCCATGCTGCAGAGAGCCTGCCCAGGCACCTGTCAGGGTCTGCCTTCCTGCCTCCCCTTTTCCTTCATCTATTTTCTCCGCTTACCCAGCTTGTCATGATGGCAACCCCCCCGGTTTATCCAGTGAGGCACATGTCACACTGTTCCTGGATAACGCTTCAGACCACATTCACTTCCCTCCACAAACAGGTTACCTTGCGTTTAAAAATAACGTGTATTTCATCATTGACAATGCTCTTCTTTCGGAGGGCAGGATCCTGAGGAGTCTACTTTTCACATCGGAGCTGGTATTTTAATAAAAACAAACCATAGCCCTGACCAGTTTGGCTCAGTGGATAGAGTAGGGGTGTCGAACTCAATCAGAGAAGGGGCCAAAATCTAAAATCCAGCCTAAATCGCGGGCCGAATGGTTTACTGAACAGTCATAAACTGTCATTGTGATGGAAATGCAGCGGAGTGCAGCGATGACAGCGCGGTGCGGGCCACATTGCAAGGCCTGGTGGGGACGGATTTGGCCCTCGGGCCTTGTGTTTGACACATGTGCGATAGAGCATCAGCCTGGGGACTGAAGGGTCCCAGGTTCGATTCTGGTCAAGGGCATGGACCTTGGTTGTGGGCACATCCCCAGTGGGAGGTGTGCAGGAGGCAGCTGATCAATGTTTCTCTCGCATGGATGTTTCTAACTCTCCATTCCTCTCCCTTCCACTTTGTAAAAAAATCAATAAAATATATATAAATAAAAATAAAAATAAAAACAGACTATATGCTATTCTGTTGAGGCGTGGGCTATCCCCGAGCTCTCGGCTTGTGGTCTCCCTGCCGGCTCACAGTCTCCTGGTGAAGTGCTGGGCCTGGTGGTCATTACTTTCCGCCCTGTTTGTTCTCACAGTGACAAAGGTGTATGGAGACAGCGTTCCCTCGCTGTGTGTGTAAAGAACTTCTGAAGGCATACAGCGATCTGCCAAACTGTGTGAAACAGAATCTGAATCCTCGAATCAGGAGCGGTATGGGCGTGGCTGGCTCGTGGCTCTGCATCCTGAAGGACCCCCAGAAGCCCGAGGAACTATCTTTTCTTACCCATGCGAATCCCATCACACACAGAACAAACTGCTGCGCAACCCAATCGGGGTAAAGGTGAGCAACGGTCACGAGGACCACGACCTTACCGTTCTGCACGTCCAGCACGTGATGCTTGTCCAGCGTCCAGCCGCCCATGTTGGAGGCATCCAGCTCGTAGCCTTGCAGAATGGCTGTCCTCTTCTCCCACAGGGTCAGGTCCAAGCACGACTCGTACTCGTATCCCACCGACACTGCAGTGGGGACAGACCAAGTCCCTCCGTCAGCCACAGCGGAAATACAATGCACTTCCCTATTTTCCACAACTGTGTGCTGAGACTGTATTTCCATTTTTTTTTTTTCATGGGCAGAGTGTAGTTTTTTATATGAGAAGATTTGATCGCATAAAATATTTTTTTTTCCCTAAAAAAGAATGACCTCCGAATATTATTTTTGCACCTGTTTTGTTGAAAGCTAGTATTTTTATGTTACCATCGTCTTCTTTATCAGGGGGTCCTAGCACACATGGAAGTTCAGGTTGGGCATCTGGTTAAATAGTTAGATCAGATAAATCAGCCCCAAATGGTAATCAGTTCCTAAGAACTTAAAATCTTACTTGCTCTCTGAATTATTGGAGTGATTTAGTGTCTTAGAGTATTATGTTATGGAAACCATTTACAATAAATAAGATTCAGTACGGAAAAAAAAAAGCCACAGTATGACATTATATTCATGCTTTCAGGAATGAACAACAGAATTAACAGTACATTAATATGAACAAACCACAAAAGAACTCTGAGTTCACAATGCAGCATGAATTTTAAAGTTCAGAACAAAGCGAAGGGAGTAGTGGCAATTATCTGGCTGCTTTGAATTAATTCAAGTCCACATTAGAGATTAACTTCAGAATACCATGTCTGCTCTATGAAGAATGAGTAGAAGGAAGTACGTTATCCTTAGTTTTTGATGTTTTCCGAGCCAGAGTTAGAGCTATTCTAAGTATATCTTTACATGTCAAACTTGGATTACACTATCCAGTCACACTGTACAAACAACTGGCTGGACTGACGTTTAAAGAACAGCCTCTCCTTGAATTGATCTTCTGATTAAAAGAGCTAAACCAATTTTTAGGCACAAATGTTGTCCAATACCCTGTTAAACAGCACTATGAATCAAAACTACACTAGTTGTGAGATACAGAAAGACATGAAAAAAAATAAAGCCAGGGAGTTAAAATTATAAAGAAGAAAATAAAAAAATAGGAAGCGACACAATAAAGAAAAAACATGAAAAAAAAAAAAAGATAATCTGAAATATCTTCCAGAACCTTCTTCTGAGACATAATTTCAGCCAGAAAAGATGATGACCTGTCTCCTCCTGCCCACATGGAATACATTCCTTTTCCTGGTGCATTTGAGCCAAACGGTGGGCAACTTCCTGTGACAGTCTCACTGCCTTCCTGTCTGCTCACCCATTGGTCTCCATGGGTTACAATTACTTTTAGGTTAATTCTGAATCACGACAATTTGTTGTTGTTGTTGTTGTTGTTAATCTTTACCTGATAATTTCCCCCCATTGATCATTAGAGAGAATAGAGGGAAGGAAACGGGGAGAGAGAGAGAAAGAGAAAAACATCGGTGTGAGACAGACACATGGATGGTTGCTTCCCACAGACCCCTGACCAGGATCAGGGATTGAACCTGCAGCTGAGGTACATGCCCTTGACCGGGAAACTAACCCACAGCGCCTTGGTCTGTGGGCCAACGCTCTGACCACTGAACAAACCAGCCGGGGCAAGACAATTGGTCTGACGCAGGCTGGACTGACACGGAACTCACCGACAGCTTCGGACAGACCATAGACCTTCTGGTTATACGCGTCTGTTTTGTCCCAGAGGAAGGTGTAGGCCAGGTTCGGGGAGGCGGGGAACCACTTCTGAAAGAGTCTTCCCACGACAGCTACCATGAGGTGGACCTTCATCAGGTTGAAGGGTATCACGGCCTGCGTCATGGTGACCTTGAGGACGGACTTGTACCCGGCGGCTCTGGAGCTCAGGTAGGACAGCCTCAGGTCTGTCCCCGGGATTGTGGTCTCTTCGTGGAGCACCTGATGTGGACAAAGCACAGCCCACACTGAGCTCACCCACAGCCACGAGACAAAATACACGGGAAAGGACCGAGAAGAGCAACCGGGACACCAAGGAGGCACTGCTCCTGAACGCCCAGGTGAGCTGGGATCTCGCTGGACAACCAGGGATGCACCTGCTGCCAGCCCAGACTCGCTCTTCCTCCAAGCCTCTCGCCATTCATCCTGAGCCACTCCAGCCTCAGGGGCTCCTCCTTCAGGAGGCCCTGTGACTGCACCGCCGGGTGATGTGCACGGACTTGCTGGTTCACAGTCACCTGAAGTCTGGCCAGCCCGTTTTTAACCCGCTGCCCGGGAGAATCAGAGCAACATGTGTCAGATGGCTGGCTCAGTACAGGGATGTGGTCTAGGCCAGTGGTCGGCAAACTGCGGCTCTCAAGCTACATGCAGTTCTTTGGCCCTTTGAGTGTTGCTCTTCCACAAAATACCACGGCCAGGGCGAGTCTATTTTGAAGAAGTGGTGTTAGAAGAAGTTTAAATTTAAAAAATTTGGCTCTCAAAAGAAATTTCAATTGTTGTACTGCTGATATTTGGCTCTGTGGACTAATGAGTTTGCCGACCTCCGGGCTAGGCCGGAGAGCTGGTCTCCCCCAGCTGCACAGTTAGGGGTTAAACCTCTGCTCTGGCCTCATCACCCGACTGGTCCCAGCCTACAACGGCGGGAATGATGACAAAAAGCCAACGCGTTTGGGTTCAATGGTCACACATTCCGTATCCACGTGGAAAGGTAATAAATAACAGCACATCCTCATAATTAGCTCAACACCGAGCTAGGACTCACCACTGATTTCTTATATGGCAGTGAATGAATTAGTAGTTTAAAGCTGTGAAAAACTTCCCCTGTGAACAATGAATGCATTACTGAATGCACACAGAGACACTCAATATATACCTTTGAATCAAAACCGGATTGTAAAGAGTTAATATAATCACCCCCCGTAAGAATTATCTATTGTACACATTAAAAAAATTCCTTACCCTAGAATTTACCCATTGATGTGACTAGTTCAATGAATGCCAACAAATGTATACTGATGCATACAAAACATTGCTCAGCTATTTTGAAAATATACTTAAGTAACATATACAAGTCTTCCTAAATGGTTCAGACTCTCCTTGCTAACACTCCTATGAGTTTGGGTATTAACGATGGCCCCTCAATGCCTTACTGCATACACTGTGAAGTGCAGGGCCCTCTCTGTCCCGGAACCTGGGCAGGGAACACCACTTTCTCAATTTAGAATTACGTAGTGTTTCCTTTTTTTGTTTTGTGAATCCTCACTGGAGGATATTGTTCCACTGATTTTTTTAGAGAGAGTGGAAGGGAGGAGGAGAGACCCAGAGAGACACACTGATGTGAGAGAGACACAAGGATTGGTTGCCTCCCGCACACACCCCAACCAGAGCCGGGATTGAGCCTGCAACCGAGGTACGTATCCTTGACTGGAATCGAACCCAGGACCCTTCAGTCTGCAAGCCTATGCTCTACCCACTGAGCCAAACTGGTTAGGGCTACATAGTGTTTCCAGAGGCTTCCTCACATTGCCCTACCAAGATTCATTACGCAGACAGAAAGGATCGCCTCTTACGTCACAAAATCATGGAAGAGAGATTCAATGTTCAGGAGTGCTTCTCTCTTCCAACTCCTCTCCCAGGACACAGGAATGATGTACATCTGTCATCTCAAATTTCAGTAACTTAAGGAAGAACTTAAGGAGAACCCTGGACCCTGGGGCGGGGGAGCTGTCAGTGGCAATGGAAACAATCGAATGGCTGAAGTAGCACCAAAGAATGAGCTCAACGAGCTTCCATTTGGATGTGAGCGATGCTGGCATGAATCTACAAAAGCTGATGCCCTGTGGCAGAGGAAGCAGGCATTGCTGCACTATCAGACACGCCACGTTATTCCAGTCTGGTCTTTACCAAACACACAGGCTGAGAAAATAGTTCCGGAGCATACAGGGACTATCCAGAGCTCACTCCACTGCGGAGACCACGGCGTTCAAGATCCACTGTGGGGTATGAGGTGAATCCACGAAACACAATGCATGGTTCTCCCCTCACTGGGTGGGATATCCATGGGTTCATTTGAAAAACAGATTCCGTGACTCCTGAATAGCGCTGAACGTGTAAGTGATTGAAACCTAGAGCACACACTCTATTTCCTCCTAATTTATTTTGGAAATAACTTCCCGTACACTAGGTTGGTTTTCTACGTGGAAGGCAATCTCTCATTCGTGTATTTCCTGTGACCTAGAAATTGCTTTTCTCTTTCACAGGAGCATGTGTTATCCTAATTTCAGTAATGGATTACTGGCTGGACCATCACTGACCTACTTCCATGGGACACATACCTGTGAGTTAGCTCATTAAAGCATGCTTTCTCCTGCGTGATTTCACGGGCCCCGCTAGTCTGCACTAGTGGGAAGGTCAGTCCAGTCAGAGGGGAAACAAACCGTTCAGCCCTCTTTGGGCAGCCGCGTGGTCTGTGAGCCCTGCTCTGGACCCCACTGCACATCCCGTTAGAAGCCACATCCTGCCAGTCTTACCATCCAAATCTGTCTAGCCCACTCCCTCCTCTCAATTTCCATCACCACCATGATGGTTGGCCCTCTCCCTCTGTGGGTGGGATATGCATGGAGCTACCAGGAACGCTAGCCTGCTCACTGGTCTCTGTCACTTAGTCAGCTGTAGAGAAACGCTAAAAAGACTTCATTGGTCCCTCGGTTCCTTATTATTATTTTTTAATCTTCACCTGAGGGTATTTTTCCATTAATTTCTAGAGAGAATGGAAGGGAGGGTGGAGGGGAAGCGAGAGAGAAACATCTATATAAGAGAGACACGTCAATTGGTTGTCTCCTGCATGTGCCCTACCAGGGCTGAACAACCTGCAACTGCGGTCCATGCCCTTGACTGGGAATCAAACCTGAGACCCTTGGTCAGCGGCCTGAGGATGCTCCAACCACTGAGCCTAGTTCCTTATTGCCTAAAGAATTCATGGTCTCCAGCGTATGGCATTCCAGGGCCATTCACAAACTCCCCACTCTTTCCCCTCACATGCCGTACATTTAAATGGTTCATCTGTTTTTATACTACACTAGAGGCCTGGTGCATGAAATTTGTGCATGGGGTGTGTGTGTCCCTCAGCCCAGCCTGCACCCTCTGCAATCTGGGATCCCTCTCACAATCCAGGACTGCTGGCTCCAAACTGCTTGCCTGCCTGCCAGCCTGATTGCCCCTAACTGCCCTCCCCTGCAGGCCTGGTCACCCCTAACTACCCTCTCTTGGAAGTCTGGGCCTCCCCTTCCCCCCTTCCCTGCAGGTCCAGTCACCCCCAACTTCCCTCCTTTGCTGGCCTGGTCACCCCTAACTGCCCTCCCTTGCAGGCTTGATTGGCCCCAACTGCCATCCCTTGCAGGCCTGGTCCCTCCCAACTGCCCTCCCCTGCTGGCCATCTTGGGCGGCCGTCTTATGTCCACATGGGGATAGTCATCTTTGACCACATGGGGGCCACCATCTTGTGTGTTGGAGTGACAGTCAATTTACATATTACTGTTTTCTTTTCTTTTCTTTTTTTTTAAATATATTTTATTGATTTTTTCACAGAGAGGAAGAGAGAGGGATAGAGAGTTAGAAACATCGATGAGAGAGAATCATCGATCAGCTGCCTCCTGCACACCCCCTACTGGGGATGCGCCTGCAACCAAGGTACATGCCCTTGACCGGAAGCGAATCCGGGACCTTTCAGTCCCCAGGCCGACACTCTATCCACTTGAGCCAAACCAGTCCCGGCACATATTACTGTTTTCATTAGATAGGACTGTTTTTACCACCACACTGCTGCTCACACATTTTCTTCAACTTCCTCAATGACACTTTCTTTGGCTTCCTTGGGAGGTGACCTCTCTTTTGACCTCCCGCAGTTCTCCATTCACATCCTGATCCTGTTTAGCACAGCAGGATGCGTGTCTTAGTATCTTTGTATCCTAGCAGAGTGCCTCATGCATTATAGGCTCCCAGTACATTTTGCTAAACATTGGCTGTCTGTATGAGGGAACGGGGAGAGAAAACCCCCACCCTCCACGTATCCCTGGAACTGTTGACGACTTGAAACCTATTTCAATGACCTGGTTTGCTAGACATCTGCCACCAATGGACAGACCGTGCCTCTAGGTTAAGTCTATTTTAGGGCTGGCTAAGGAGGTCAGTTACTGCCGAGTGGACCCTGGGGAGGAGGGACTAAATTGAATAGGCTGCAATGAATTCCTGAAAGCCTTGGCTCCACGTCTGCCGGACTGATCTGCAGCAAACGAAGGAGGTGTCTTGTGGGCAGCGTATCTGCCTGTGAGCAATCTCACCTTTTATTCCTCTCCCCTCCCCTCATCTCCACCGACACCTCCTCACCCCAGGCTGTGAGTGGATCTATAACACCGGTGACTCCCATACACATCCTTACTTCCAACCTCCCCCCTGGACTCCACCCTCACATGGTCATTTCTTACCGCCTCAACCCCAAACACGTCTGTCCGGGCCACACCGTTTCTCCTGTGGACTCATCTCGCCTCCTGACGGGGCTCCTTGTTTTAGCCTTCCGTGGCCTCTCCCTCAAAGTGGGCAGCTCTCACCCATGCCGTGACCTTCAGTGACTCAGGACTAGTGTGCAACGACCTTCACTCCAGCCACACCTGCTCCTCTCTGCTCTTCCCTGAGCATGCCAAGCTAGCTCTTCCTTCAGAGCCTCTGAGCTTGCTCTCTGCTCTGCCTGGAATGCTTCTCTTTGTAAGGGTTATTCTTTCACTTAACGTTTCTGCTGGAATACCGTGTTATTGAAGGGATCTCCCCAAACCACACGTTATAAAATTGCTCTCCAACCACGTTCTTTAAAAACAAGTCTTACAACCTGACACGTCTTTGTACATTTGATGTTTCTCTCTCCCTATGAGCTGGTAAGCCCTGGAGGCAGATGCTCCTCCGACTGGTTCCTGATCTGCTCCCCTCAGACAGCGCTGGTGCAGAGCAGGTGCTCCATGGATACTTGAAGAATGGGTGTGCTGCTGTATTTTGAAAGTTAAGTACTTTTTCTTAGCTTTTTATGAATGAAGTCCATTATTATGGTGCCAAATGTCCTGCCTTTAATATCTGAAAGTATTTCTTAAAAAAAAATCTAAAAAATATTTTTATTGATTTCAGAGAGGAAGGGAGAGATAGAAACATCAATGATAAGAGAGAATCATTGATCGGTTGCCTCCTGCATGTCCCTTACTGGGGATCAAGCCCACAACCCGGGCCTGTGCCCTGACAGGGAATCGAACTGTGATCTCCTGATTCGTAGGTCGACACTCAACCACTGAGCCACGCCGACCAGGCTGAAAGTGTTTCTAATTGGTAACATATAGGAAAGAAGACAATGCCCAGGTAGTTCAGTAGATAAAATAAGTAGTGAAAATCTGACTGTTTCAAAGAAAATTGTAAGTTTTTTTTTTTAAAAAAGTCTTGTTAGAATAGGACTTTATGAATTATGTAACATAGAGCTTAAGACAGGATATCAAGTTTTAAAAATATTATCTTGAGAAAATTAATGAACATTTTCTGTCAATAATCAAACAGTGAGTTACTGAGCAATGACCTTGGGCAAGGCAGTCAGGAGGTCAGGTACCTGTAGGCACCAAAACCTTTTCCCAACGAATGAATGATTTCACGAGCAGGGATGTCATTGCTATTGCATTGAGGTTGTTTTTCCATCTGACTGCAACTGCTACATTTATTCAGATGTAGGCTGGAGGAAAATAGGCCTTTAAGAAATAACAGAGATCCTACTATAACAATATCTATCTAGTGCCTGCATATGCACTCACCACTCCCCCATCATGGCCGCCCTCCCCCCCACCCCCTTCTCTAGTTCACTCTATAAATGGCGAAGGGCAGCTCGGAATGTTGCAGCCCCGTTCACACAGCCCTCGGACACGGCGTGACCGGACGCGGCTCACTGAGAAGAACGGCTGGCATACCCACCTGCGTCTCCGGGATGATGGGGCTGTCTTCGGGGGAAGACCGGAAGAAGGTGGATAACGGCGATGACACGATGATGGGGTTGGGCCTCACAAACCCACTCAGATCACAGCTGGGGATGTCGTTCTCCTCCTTCTTCATGACCAGCGTGTCCATGACGTAGAAGACGTTCCAGGGGATCCACACGGTGTGGTACTGAGTGAGGAACGGGGATCGCTCAAACACCAGCGTGAGAGAGGCCCCGCCGTTAGCCACCAGGTCAAACCTAATGGAAAGAAGAGACGCCTTGTGAATCACTGGGTCCCGGGTAACGACTCCCCGTCCATCTCGTTTAACCTCCTCCAGAGAGTACGCTTGGCAAAGAAAGTTGGCTTTTCTTCCCCACTTTCCTATGAAATAATTTCAAATCTACAGGAATATGAAAAGAATGATCCAACAAACGCTCGTCTACCCTTTACGTAGATTTACCAATGTATTTACATTTTTCCACTTTGACTTTATCATCTACCTCGCGTCTCCTTTCTCAGGACCACCTGAGCTTAAGTGGTACATAGTATGCAACGTCACTCCAAAATATCTCAACCAGAATCCCCCAAGATAAAGAACTTTCTCGTACAAAACCACAACACTGTCATCATGCCTTAGAGAAGGAAATCACCTGTTAAAGAATGACATGAATAGGTGACTCTAAGTTTCTGCCACATGTACCACATGTCACAGATTTCTGGAGCCTAAACGTGGTTGTAATTCTATATCACAAGGGACAATAAAACACGCTGGGTGATTGAAGAATGTCTAGTTCTTTTTGTTGTTGTTATTGTTTTTAGATTTTAAAATATGTTTTTATTGATTTCAGAGAGTAAGGAAAAGAGAGAGAGAGAGAGAGAGAGAGAGAGAGAGAGAGAGAAACATCAATGATGAGAGAGAACCATTGATTGGTTGACTCCTGCACATCTCTCCACTGGGGATTGAGCCTTCAATCTAGGCATGTGCCCTTAACTGGAATTGAACCCAGGACCCTTCAGTCCACAGGTTGACACTCTATCCACTGAGCCAAACCAGCTGGGGCAAGATTGTCTAGTTCAGCTTCTTATTAAAAAAAAAATTATACATATAAAATTAATTTTTCACAGCGGAAGTGAGTAGGATAGAGAGTTAGAGACATCGATGAGAGAGAAACATCAATCAGCTGCCTCCTGCTCCCCCCCCCCCCCCCCCCCCATTGAAGATGTGCCCACTACCAAGGTACATGCGTTGACCAGAATCAAACCTGGGACCTTTCAGTCCACAGGCCGATGCTCTATCCACTGAGCCAAACGGGGTTGGCTAGTTCTGCTTCTTAAAGTACCCCAGAGACTGCACTAGGACGAACTCACATGCCGTCCTGCCGGGTGATGGTGTAGCCGTACTCCGGGTAATGGAAGAACGAGACGTTGACGCCAATGAGTGGCGTTCCGTCCGCCGTCAGCACTTGGCCTCTGATGACGGACGCGAGGCTGTGGGAGACGCAGGAGAGCCATGGTGAACAAGTGTGTCCTCAGCCCCACGCACGTTGAGTTGATGAGAGATGATCCCACCTCCGGTAACATCACATGCAGCCCTTTGTCTCAGAAGCCAGACTCCAGAGGCGCCCAACTCTGTGTCCCTTTAATTCCGAGTGACCCACCTTCTCTACACGCCGACGTCTGGCCCTGGGTTTTCAATTCCCTGCAATCTGGTTTTGGAGACTTACCCAAACCAGTCATTTAGAGATGAGTTTTAAAATGATAAACTGCCCCCGTGCTCCCATCAGCCCTATGTCTGTGCTTACACGAAGAAAAGCACACTTTCCAATTAATTCCGAGGCGATCTGTAAACCTTCAGGGGCGAGCCGTACAAGATGGAGGGGGCAATAAGGAACATTCGTGCCACAAATTTTCATCAGCCGCTGGGCTCGCCGCGTTAACGAAATGCTGCAGACCCCGGAGTCCGGAGCCCATCGCCCCTGGGCGCCCCCTCAGGCTGGTCCTCAGCCCGCACAGCACAGCCCGGTCACAGCCTGCCAGGCCTCCCTCCACCCCTCAGCACTGATATCACCGGGTGAGCCTGCTAAAGAGGGAGTGCACTTCTCTCTGCCTTTGGGTCTTCTCGTGGCCTCTTCTGAAACACTGCCAACCGGGCCAACCCCTAAAGGACCATGTGCTGCCTCCCTAGTGGGGTGTCTCGTCATGGCGCGGGCCCCGAACTTGACAAAGTACAGAAATTGTGTCAAGGATGCCCGCAATGCGGAGTTTGGGGAAGACTTGCTGGAAGGGGAAAAAGCTGCTTTAGAAAAAAAAAAGCGCACTTTTCTCGTTTGCACCGCCAGCAGCAACTGTGCAGGCTCACTCGGAATCTGTGCCAGCTCACTAGAAAGCCATGTCAGCTCCGTAGGAACCCATGTCAGCTCACTGGGAACCCAGGCCTGCTCACCAGGATCCCGTGCCAGCGCACCGGGAACCGTGCCAGCTCACCAGGATCCTGTGCCAGCTCACCAGGATCCCGTGTCAGCTCACCGGGAACCTGTGTCAGCTCACCAGGATCCCGTGTCAGCTCACCGGGATCCCGTGTCAGCTCACTGGGAACCTGTGTCAGCTCACCGGGATCCCGTGCCAGCTCACCAGGATCCCGTGCCAGCTCACCGGGATCCCGTGTCAGCTCACTGGGAACCTGTGTCAGCTCACCGGGATCCCGTGTCAGCTCACCAGGAACCAGTGCCAGCTCACCGGGAACCCGTGCCAGCTCACTGTGAACCCAGGTCTGCTCACCGGGAACCAGTGCCAGCTCACCGGGAACCCGTGCCAGCTCACCAGGAACCCGTGCCAGCTCACCAGGAACCCGTGCCAGCTCACCAGGAACCCGTGCCAGCTCACCAGGAACCCATGCCAGCTCACTGGGAACCCGTGCCAGCTCACCAGGATCCCGTGTCAGCTCACCAGGATTCCGTGTCAGCTCACCGGGATCCCATGCCAGCTCACCGTGAACCCAGGCCTGCTCACCAGGAGCCGATCGGAGAGGCCCTCTCACCTCTTGTTGAAGGGGCTCTCGCCAGGGATGACGTGGGTGCTGTCGGCGCCGGTGAGGAAGCCGATGCGCTCGTAGAAGGACTTGGCCGCCTGCTGGGATGGGGACTGCGGGCTCTGGCTGATGACATCCTGCGGGTCGGGCCGGCCGCGGCAGTACGGCTGGCTCTGGCAGGAGCTCTGCAGGCAGCAGTCGGGGTCCATGCAGTCGGTGAGGCCATCTGCGGAGAGGGGAGTGGTGAGGTGTGGAGAGCGCTCTGGTTGTTGGCTGGTCTTCCCATCCCACGCTGTGTCCTCCCCCCTCCCCCCACAACCTGGTCATTCCCAGGAGGTCCACACTCTGGAACCCATGAAATACAAACACGACCCTCGCAGCTGCTCTTGTTGAGAGTAAATGCTTAGATTGGAGACGGCTAAGAAGAACATGTTGATTCTGAGCAAGACATAAAAAAGGACCAATGAGAACAGTCTCGGAGCAGGTGAAACAACGTGGACTAGCTCTGTGCCATCGCTCCGGCCTCTATCCTTCAGGGAAAACGCATGAGGAGGAACCACACTGTGTGCGGTGAGGGCACTGGCCTCCACGGGCGCCGTTCTAAGTTGGGAGAGGCCCAGGAAGTACCATCTGTGGGATGAAGCCAGTGCAAACCAACACCACCGAGATGAGGCCAGCCCACCACCTCCCGGGACACCTGCTCTCCCAAGGAGGGTAAAAGCATGCTCCAAGGAAAATAAAGGCATCTCTCAGACTTTAAACAGGAGCCTGGGCCCCGGGTATGCCTCCCCATAATGGAGATATTAATTTAAAATGTGGCAAATGTAAAGATGCTGCCTATCGGAAACAATGAGACACTATCACAAAAATAGTGATGGCGGCGTCATGCAGCCATGGACAGGCTTTGCCTATGCCTTCTCCAGGAAGCCACACTCAGTGTTCATGTAAGCATTTTGTTTGAAACATATCCACCAACCCGTTAGTGCTAAGGCTGCTGCACACCCCCAAGAAGGATCGAGCTTGCAACCCGGGCACAGGTCTGGCCTGGGAACCGAACTGTGACCTCTGGCTCATAGGTTGATGCTCAACCATTAAGCCCGGCTGGGCTAAGTTCATTTTTCACTGACCAGTTGGTACGTAAGTGTTCACCTGCCTGCCAATTACATTTCTCAATCTTCTAGATTAATAAAAAGCGTTGGTTTTTGAAGACTTTAATCACTTTTGGGAGGATGGATAAAATAGTTTTAAAATCTTCAAACACATGTATCAGGTCTTGGTGTGACTCTCCTATGGCAAATCAGTTAAAAGTATCTAGTTGACCTATATATTTTAATTACACAAGTATTTAAGTAAAAAATAACTTTTATTAAAAAAAAATACATTAGCCATTTTCTCCTTCCTTCCTTCCTTCCTTCCTTCTTTTCTTTCCTTCTTTCTTTTTTTTTTTTTCTTTTTTTCTTTTTTTCTTTCTTTCTTTCTTCCTTTCTTTCTTTCTTTCTTTCTTTCTTTCTTTCTTTCTTTCTTTCTTTCTTTCTTTCTTTCTTTTCCTTTAGGCTGCACTTATTAATCCTATATAATAAAAGCCTAATATGTTCATTTGACCAACTGTTCATTTGACCGTTCACTATTATGTGCACTGACCACTAGGGGGAAGATGCTCCGACTAGTAGGTTAGCTTGCTGCTGGGTCTGGCCACTCGGGACTGGGAGAGATGGGCCGGACACAGCCTGGAGCACCCCCGTGGTCCCTTCCTGGCCCCGATCATGCATCGGTGGGTCCCTTGGCCTGGCCCGCACCTTCTCACAATCCGTGATCCCTCAGGGGATGTTGGAGAGCCAGTTTTGGCCCAATCCCTGCAGGCCAGGCTTCAGGACCCCACTGGTGCATGAACCCACGCACAGGGCCTCCAGTAGAACATACGCGTGCCCTTCGTTATTGACAGCAAGCTGAGACAAAAGGAAACAGACTACATGAACTGTGCTGTGCATCTAGAAGTGCGTGAACAGCAGCACGAGAGGTGAGAAGCGGAGAAGGGGGTCCTGGCTCAGTGTGCTCTGCCTGCCTGAGGAAGACAGTAGGAGCCCTTGTGATTTCCCCTGACACCCATTCCCCATCTGTGGGCAGTAGACTCTCACTGGGTCCCCATCCCTCCCCGCTTCAGTCCAGGCGCACAGCCCTGCATGTCTGCATCAGGAATGGACACATGACCTCACTGGTGTGACTGGTATGGACACGTGACCTCGCTGGTCTAACCGGAGTGAATTTCAGGAGCGACCTGCGAAGAGAGCCCTGTCCCCCCGCAGCTGTGGAGCTGCTATTATCTGGGAACCAGCCATCCCAGAGGACGCAGAGCCAGGAGCTGGAGGGGACAAGGAGAAGGTCCCGGGGCATCTTTGGAGTGAGCTGCACCTGACCTGGCCTCCTGGGGTCTTCAGTCCCAGCAGCAAAGCCTTCCCTTCTCCCTCTGCTGCCTGAATTCAGGGCTTTCTGTCACTCAAAACTGGAAGGATTTAGTTCACCAGGACACAGTAATCACAGGACTTAGTTCATCAGGAGGCAGCAACCACGCCTCTCTCACGGCTGTCCTTGTGTTCGAAGGGAAAGCTTACAGGGCGGAGTACTTGAGTCACAGTGATGGTGTTGGACTACCTTTCCACTAATATTTTAATTTCTGTATGACCACGATTTCCATACACATGAAAACATGGTCAGAACTGCCCACAGGCAGATCTTACGACCTACTGCTTCCTTGCGATAGGTTTTCATGTAGATGTCTGTCATACACCTAAAAATGTGTCGCTAATCTTCTGACACTGCGTATTAGTCCTTTTTTTGGGGGGGGGGGGAATAAAATCATGTTTTAATAAATTCAAATGAAACTGAACTTTGAAACTTAAGATGAATTCATCGAAATATTACTTTCTTAGCCAAAAGGCCATGGAAATGAGAGATGTCTAAATATTTCTCCATATTTCTAGTGGAAGAAAGATGACACTGTGCTACAGGCTTGTTTTTCATGAAGATATATTCTAACAGTGACATTTCCCCTCCATCTCTTTCAAAGGAATAGGAGCACTGTTGCGATTCAGATTTTAAAGTAGTCAACTGCTGAACCATTGCCCAACATCACTACTGACTTCAAAACAACCATTAAAAACAAAAACACACACAAAACTCCATGGATTTAGAATGCATTTGGCACGGGAGAGCTATTTAACGCAAACCTCTCTCAATATTCTTGCAGGTCTCCCCTTACATTCATTCTTCAACATGAGTAAAAGCTAGTCAATAAAGTACTTCCACGTACTGTATTATGCTGTATGCCCATTATTCTGATAAATGAAGGTTTACCCGTTCTCCACTCTCTTTTCCCCCACCACACTCCCACCGTGGCTTCCTGCAGGCGCTGGATGGCTCAGTGAGTGACCAAGGAGGAGGGCTCGGATCCAGTCGTTGATCTTCGTTAGTTTATAAAAAGCACAAGTACATCTGGCATGTTGTCCGCCGGCCATAAAACTGCATGAGATCGACACCTTCTGAATGAATCCGCTGGGAATGCATTTTTACAAGCCTCTCTGTGAACATTGATCAGAGAAGGAATCTCCTTCTCAGCAGCCAAGATGCAGGGACACACTGCTTGTTATTTTTTTTTTTTTGGGTGGGTGGGTGGGGGGGTTTATCAGGAACTTGCCCAAGCAAATGAAGGATGGCTATGAATCCGGCTCCCATAAATGGGGGAAACAGTTTTCTTTCTTTGTCTGTGCTTCTAGGGCTGGGAGCTCTCTGGTACCACTAAGCAGATGGATTACTCATTTGCCCAAACATATATTGTGGCTAAACTGTCTTGGTGGAATAGCTTCTTAAAATCATCGAGATTTCATCTGAATCTCAAGAATATTAGGCTGGCTTAAATTTATATTGGTGTAGAAGCCGTAGCTAGTAGAATGAATCATAAAAAAAAATCTCCAGAAAATCAGAAATGTTCAGACGCACTGAACAACAACATCAATAGCAATTAAGAGCCTTCATCTTTTCAGGGTAAGCTTTGCAATATAAGCGGTACTTTGAGGTAAAGTAGATAATATCGTTTATGCTTTCACTCAACCTTTTTAAAAAATATATTTTTAGTGATTTCAGAGAGGTAGGGAGAGGGAGAGAGAGATAGAACCATCAATGATGAAAGAATCGTTGATGAGCTGCCTCCTGCACATTCCCCAGTGGGAATGGAGCCCACAAACCAGGCCTGTGCCTGCCCGGGAATTGAACTTGACCTCCTGGTTCCTAGGTTGAGGTTCAACCACTGAGACATGCTGGCCGGGCTCAGTCTTTGATATTGTTGCTCCAGTTTTCATTTTTAAACATGTTCTTGTCGTTTCTTAGGCTTCCATTGGGCTTTTAAACAGTGGATGGGAAACTTATTTTGCTAAGGGCCAGGCAATACATATTTTAGTCTCTGTGAGCCATTGAGTCTCTGTTGCAACTCTTGAGCTGCCTTTAGAGCAAGCACTAAAGCAGCCCAGCCATAGAAGGCATTAAGTGAATGGGTGTGATTATGTCCCAACAAAACTTTATTTACAAAGCCAGGTTTTAGCTGAGCGGTCACAGTTTGCCAACCTCTGGTCTTGCTTTCAAGTTTCTACCCTGCTCCATTTCCTTGTGCTTTTCCCCCAAATCATTCTTGATTTTGTTTGTTTGTTTTTAAACAAGGCTCACTTTGCCAGGTTACTAAAACTTTTGACTTCTCGTCTTCCCTGGTTACCCTCTACGCTGGCTTCAGGCTCTCACCGCCTGTCCATGTCTCACTCTTCTTTCAAGCAGCTTTGGCTATTTTCATTGGGTTCTCAAAACCTTCACATACTGACTGAATAAAAAGTCCTAAGTCTCCTTTTAGTGAATCTTCATATTTTACTCAAAAGATAATGCCCAGCCCCTACCCCACAATATCTGTTAAGACCCTCTATCCAGGCCCAGCCAGCGGGAGTGGTAGGAATTCCGGTGCAGTATTTTATCTGCGGACTTGGGAACTTTTAGTGGACAGGGAGGCATACCTTTCATTACTCTGTTAAGTCACTACCTGTGACATGCTTGAAATTCACTTCTTTACTACTGAACTGGCGTCACGTTCAATTCTCTTGGTTTGTCTTAGTGGCTTTCCTGGTGATTTTAGTCTCTGTGTCCCATGCTGGTGCCTCCCGGCCGATCATTCTCCTGAGCTCCATTTCCACAAGCTGCCTCCTAGGGTTTTCCACTCGGATAGCACCCAGGCACCAAACACGTAACATGCCTAAGACACCACATAGGCCATGTGCTCTTCTGTACTGCCCGCAGTAGCGGGCGGGCCCACCATCCACCCACCCGGTTTCTCTACACAGAACACCAATGTAATCATCGCCTCCCTCCCTTTTCCTCTGCACACAATCAATGACCAATTCTTCTTTTCTTCACCCCAGACATCTTTTGAATCAGTGTACTTCTTTCCATTTCACTGAAATTACCCTTCAGGCCACAGGGGCCTCCTTCTGACAAGATCTCAACACCAGCTAGGTTTCTCAGGTGCCAGTCTTGTCCTAAATATCCATTCTCTATGCCGTAGTTAGGGTAATCAAATCAGATTCCATTACTCCATTTCTTTAGCTGAAAGGCTTCCTTTCCTCGGTCCCCGCCTCCTTCTGAGTAGTGAGAACTCCTGAATGCAGCGTACAAGACCTTTCATGATCATCATTTCCTCTGCCCGGAGACCTGCTCTCACTCCCCACCCCGCACCCTTCCACACAGCTCAGCGGCCTTAGGAAGCTCCAAGAAGGATAATCTAGTTCACTGCTGTGTCCTCAGCATCACGTGGCCCAAGCCGGGGTACAAAATATTTGCCGAACGAAGAAAAGAGTGACTTTAGTTCCTAAGGATTGTGAGACCTGAACAAGTCAGAACAACGTCTTAAAAGCACATCAGAAACACCGACTGGTTTGCCTTTATCACCTTTACCCTACTTTCAGGAATGATGCCACTCCTTGGCTTTGCTTTTACTAAATAGGTATTTTTAAATGCTCAGTTGGTTGAACACCATCCCATGCACTGAAAGGTCACCAGTTCGATTCCCTGGCATGTGTTTGGGTTGTGGGCTCTATCCCAAGGTGGGGGCATGCAGGAAGGCAGCCAATCGATCTCTCTCTCTCTCTCTCTCTCTCTCTCTCTCTCTCTCTCTCTCTCTTTCTCTTCCTGTCAAATAAATAAAAACATATTTTAAAGATATTCTTGATTAAGTGGACATTAAGCAATCCACACAACTATAAAAGCATTAGAACAAATTATATGAAAGACTATCATTTTACAAAGGGAAAGTCCTTGTTTATGAAGACTTAAAATTCAGAATTCATCAACAAAAAGATAAATGTTATGAAGTGAACACTTTTGCATGACAAAGGACATCATAAACAGAGTTAAAAGATAAACCAAAACCTGAGATTAAATATCTGTGACACGCCTAACAAAGAGTTAATAAGCTAAATAAATGAAAATGAAAAAGGAAAAGTTAAGCAACTCAACAGAACAAAATGGGCAAGAGAAATAAATAAGCAATTAGCAAAAGAAGAAATACAAATGGTCAAGAAATGTATATAAAGATCATCAATCTAACTAGCAATTAGGGAAATGCAAATTAAAACAATAAAAATGGAGCTGTTTTGAGCTGTCAGACAAAATTCATATTTTTCATTTTGCTGGACGGCTTTGTTTATGGGCAGAGCAGGAACAGGGGACATAAACACGCTCATGCTGATGAAGTGGAGAGTGTGAAAGCCACTTACAAGGCAATTTGGCAGCAGCTATTGAAATTAAAAATTAAAAAACCCCTTGACCCAGCAATTTCACTTCTAAAAATCTGTCCAAGAGAAATATTTGTACATTTACAAAAAGATTTATATGCAGATGCCACAGACAGAGAAATACACAGATTCACTACAGATCTCTCTCTATACTAACAGCAAAAAGTAAGAAGCTATTGAATTATTATTTTCCCCCTTTAATCCTCATGCTAGGATATTTTTGTTGATGAATGAGAGAGACAGAGAGAGAGAGAGAGAGAGAGAGAGAGAGAGAGAGAGAGAGAGAGAGAGAGAGAATGAATTATCAGTTGCCTCCCATACATGCCCCAACCTAGGTATGTACCTTGACAAGGAATTACAATTGCAACCTCTGGTTATAGCTCAATCAACTGAGCTACCCGGCTAGGGTCAACTAAGTTATTTCTAAGGTAGTAGTGGTAACGTTAACTAGTGTACCCATATTTCTATTAAAAGAATGAGAGACGCCTACAGGCATTGGCATGACAAAATCCTCTTGGGTATACTCTTTGGCAGAATCCATTTTGGATTCCCTATCCCATTTAAGTTTAAAAACACAGCTACGGCCGAGGCCGGTTTGGCTCAGTGGATAGAGCGTCCGTCTGCGGACTGGAAGGTCTCAGGTTCGATTCCGGTCAAGGGCATGTACCTTGGTTGTGGGCACATCCCACGGGTAGGAGGCGTGCAGGAGGCAGCTGGTCGATGTTTCTCTCTCATCCATGTTTCTGGCTCTCTATCCTTCTCCCTTCCTCTCTGTAAAAAATCAATAAAAATATATGAAAAAACAAAAACAAAAACACAGCTACGCATGTAAGTTCACTGAAGAAGGAGAGAGATGCACACTGCGTTGCTGACGGTGATCACTCGTTGACAACGAGCATGTCCTCTCCATGCACGACCATTGATGCCAAACCTCCCCCCAGTGCGAAGTCTCTCACGGTGAGCCACGTGTGACGAGGAGGCCGGCTTCTGAAGAGGTCCTCCGCCCGGTCCATTTCTACCCTCGAAGCCCGAGGAGGCAGCTAACGGCAGTGGGCACAAAACGAGGGGGGCTCCTGGTGCCAGCCTGCATGGCCCCAGCTCCCCCCCTTCTCCAGCTCACTCAGAAAGTGCGGAACCCCGTGCTCCTCAGCAAGGAGCAGGGAGCTCGGGGGTCCTCTGCTTGTGAGCGCAGAACATGCGCTCCCCTTTCCTAGAAGGGGCTGACCGTGCTCCGCATTCCGAGGAGTCACAGGCTCAGACCACCCTGCTCTCTCCCCTGAAGGAGGATCCAGTAGTAACCTGGTACCCCAGACCCCCCCCCCCCTCAAATCACCTCTCCCAGGAATATATTGTCATGCTACGGGACTCCGAGGGCCCCTCTGTGTTCCGTTATCTGAGAGAACAGGGAGGGTAAAGGACAGGGAGGACAGGGAGGGTAAGAGACAGGGAGGACAGGGAGGATAAAGGACAGGGAGGACAGGGAGGACAGGGAGGACAGAGAGGACAGGGAGGACAAGGAGAGTAAGAGGGAGGACAGGGAGGGTAAGAGACAGGGAGGACAGGGAGGGTAAGAGACAGGGAGGACAGGGAGGGTAAGAGACAGGGAGGACAAGGAGGGTAAAGGGCAGGGAGGACAGGGAGGGTGGAGGACAGGTAGGACAGAGAGGACAGGGAGGACAAGGAGAGTAAGAGGGAGGACAGGGAGGGTAAGAGACAGGGAGGACAGGGAGGACAAGGAGAGTAAGAGGGAGGACAGGGAGGGTAAGAGACAGGGAGGACAAGGAGGGTAAAGGACAGGGAGGACAGGGAGGACAGGGAGGACAGGGAGGGTAAAGGACAGGGAGGACAGGGAGGGTAAAGGACAGGGAGGACAGGGAGGACAGGGAGGACAGAGAGGACAAGGAGGGTAAGAGGGAGGACAGGGAGGGTAAAGGACAGGGAGGACAGGGAGGACAGGGAGGGTAAAGGACAGGGAGGACAGGGAGGACAGGGAGGACAGTGAGGACAGGGAGGGTAAAGGACAGGGAGGACAGGGAGGGTAAGAGGGAGGACAGGGAGGACAGGGAGGGTAAAGGACAGGGAGAACAGGGAGGGTAAAGGACAGGGAGAACAGGGAGGACTGGGAGGGTAAAAGACAATGGGTAAAGCCCCAGAGGACTGCTTCCTGCTCCCGCTTCAACCACATCTTGCAACTGAGGATCCTGGGAAGACCTGCGTCTTCCGGGCTGTTGCTGTGAAAATATTGCTGAGAGCCCGTTCCAGGGCCCTGAACCCCGTGGCGAGGCCCACCGTCACCGGGGATTCGGAAAGGGGTGGAGCCCGGCACAGTGCACAGCACCTGGCGACCCTGCCCTTTTCCCGACAGTAACCAGCTCAGGGAAAAGAGCAAACAGAACCCCTCAGCTTTAGCACATCCTGCCATCAATCCAATCTGCCGGGATCGGATTTTGGGGTGGGGGGGAGACGGGTAGCTACGCACTTGCCACCGTACCTTCTACGCCCGTGCTCCGCACCCCGTGCCCTCCGGCTCCGCGCCCCCTACCTCCTTCGTTGTCCTTGCCGTCCGTGCAGAGGGTCTCCATGGCCACGTCGCAGCCCGCTCCGCGCCAGCCGGGCTGGCAGACGCAGTGCCAGCCGTTCTGGTCCAGCGTGCACCTGCCGTTGCTGTTGCAGAGCCCGGGGCAGCCCTCTGTCAGAGAGACGGAGAAGAAGGAGAGGGCGCGGGGGTTGAGCGCGGGGGGTTTCCGCGCCCCGGACACACAGATAAGGGACACTGAGTGGGAACAGGCCTCGGTCAACAGCACAGAGACTGTAATTGCACACGGATAGGAACAGCAACTTCGTCCACGGAATCTCATCCTCGTCCCAGTGGCATCTTTTGATTGGCCTGACCCCGAGACACCACTTACCTGGGCACGGCCGAGCTATAGGTGCAACGGCCCACTGAGTAGCTGCAGGCCAGACAAAATCAACTTCCTTTCCCCCCCCTTTGGCAAAGCAACAAGGCCGATGGGCTGATTGCATGGCATGCAAAAGCATCTCCGCAAGACAATTTTGGAACACCCACCCCCACCCCCGTCTCCTCCTCCCCTCTGGCCTAGATTTTTTTGCATCTGTTGTGAACAGATACTGGCCACTCCTTAGGTTGGACGTGCCTTCTGAGAGCGCCTTGTTGCTTTAAAAAAAAAATCCCTCTCAATTCAACAGCACGAAAGCGGGCACGGGGAGGCTCTGCGCGATGATGCCAGAACGAGGGTGTTCATTTTATCTGGCCCCAGAGTTGCCGTGTATTCATGTGGAATTACAGTGCGTCCGGTTCGCTGCACAAAGTATAGGCCAGGGTCAGTGACTATACTTTATGCCCAGTGTACACATTCCTCGTCACAGGAGAAGCAAAGCCCGGGAGGTGGAAGCAGCTCAGCGTCTAGTCTAACAAACATCGGGGTTCAGGCTGCAAACGGATGGGACAGGACCGACAGGATTTCCAACTCAATGTGGTAGCTGGTGCAGATCTGAGTACCGAGGACGGACGAAATGAAATACCAGGAAGGACCACAAGAAAACACCGAGAGACTCAACAAAAACACGGTAGTGACTGACGTGCTTCAAGACAGAGCGCGGAGTGATGTCTGGTGACAATCTCCCTAAGGCTTGTGGGCGGTTACCTTTATATCCTATCTTGTCTGCTTTTATGGGCAAGGAGGGAAAATGTGGGAAACGATTAAAATAATTTAGTATATCCAGAAGCTATCATTGTTTCAGTCTAACATGACATTAAAAAATAAAAATAAAAAAAAACATTTTTTTTGTTTTGCCAACTTCCTGACGATGGTCTCTGGCATGCGGCCCCCATGGTCTGCTCATGAGGATGACCCCCAGGGAGGCCCTGGGTTTGGAGCTATGAGTTTGACACGACACTGGCAGAAACAAGGATCTGAACGCTCGGACACGGGGAGGGTCACTGGGGATAGGTCAGACCTCTTTGGACAGAATTATTTATAATTTGGTATAAAATAGGCAGTAAAAAATATTTGGTCTAACAATTGGGGTTTGTTATTCAGCTTCTTAAAAACAGAATCTCGGGTTGGGGACAATACGTGAGGGGGTGATCTGTTTAAAGATGTTTATGGTAAGTCTGTATAAAAAGAATTATTCCTATAGCGGCTTCCCCTCCTCCAGTAAGAAATGACAAGGCGTCTCAAAGAGACCTTCTGCCCCTAAGATTAGCATTAATAGAAGGCCATCGGGACAGTCCTGGCGGGGCGCGGGAAAATCACTCTTAGGGACGTCATCGGGTCAAGAGGAGATGAGTTCTGCTGCTTCTTTTCTTTCAGACAATTGTTGTCTGCATTTCTAGACCATTCAGTCCCTAAGAGGTGAACTTTCTTTATGGATGCCTTTTTGAGTTAGTTTTGTGTTTTTTATTTTTTTTAAAGGGAAAGGAAGGCTGAAGTGCGGCACTAACTGGGTGTAACGAGGTTATTATATGAAAGCCTGGATATTGCCATGAGTCTTTTCATGTTCTAATGAAAAGCACGAACACGGATTCGGAAATAGGTAATCTGAGGAGAAAGGGAGAGAGAATTTTCTCTTGGGGGGGGGGGGGAGAGGGGGGGAAATGGTTTTCACCTATTTCTACCATAACTGAAGACATGAGAATCTGCTGTTTTCTGCTCAGCAGTGTCACTCTCTATTTTTATAGAACCCACGATATTTTAGTGTTTTTAAGGGAATAACAAAGCAGATTAGGATACCGCATGTATTTTGAAACATTTAGAAAAAGCCAAAGAAGTTTTCATGTAAGTATAAATGGGATTCCTCTCAACATATGTTAACCAAAATCTCTAGATTGGCAATTTCCTTTTCTGCGATAAGAGAGTGGGCCGTTGCGAACTTTAATTTAGAATTTAAAGCTCATTAGCTGGATTTCCAATAATGAAAACAGAAACAAAAGATAATAAGGAGACAGAAAACAGCAAATGCACCGTTATCTTCAGTTGTTTTTTTGCTTTGGATTCCGGTGAAGGCCTTTCGCGTAGGAATGAAATCCGTGATAACCCAAAATTATAAAAATGAGACACAGACATTTAAGTCTCACTACTGAAAACTCAAGGCACTTCACATCATTAAGCCTCACTCATAATTCACAAAAAATACTATGCATGAAAACCAACCTATTTTCATGGCTAGCGCAATCGGATACATGGTTCTATAGATAGATATGGAGAAGCGTGAACAAAGAGCAAGCATACAGTACCTTTAACTATCTTATCCAAATAGTGAGCTGGAGGAATCAAAAGGGAGAAAAGAACAGACAGACATTTCAGAAGGGTCACATGGGATGAGGAAATTTTCAGAATTTACATGCAAATCGAGTCACTGCGGCTGACACCAGACTCACATCACATGACAGATGCACCTCGGAGCTTCTCAAAATACAACCGATTCATGTATGAGCCCGCGCAGGCATGGCTTTTGCAAGCAGCATGTGCAGGTCAGCGACCACCCCTTTCCCAGGCCACTCAGAACATGCCCCCCCCCGCCCCCCCCCTTCTTCAAGTGGCCTCCATTCTTCAGGGCTGGAGAATTTTGGAAATTTATAACGATGAGATCTACAAATAATCAAACTTAATTTTTTGGGGGGCGGGGGGGAGGGAAGGGATTTGAGAAAAGACTTCTGTGTTTTAAAAGCCCATTTAGAACAGTAGTTGCACAAGGGTTCCACAGGGGGAGGGCGAGACCACAGCCCGGGAGGGACCGTGTCTGCGGCTCTGAGCCGGCGTTTATGTAATCTGCTGGAGCCCCTAGAAGCTCCCTGAAAATCCCCATCTGGACGGGGCAGGATTTCTGAGGGGATTCCCAGTTCGTAAGAATTAATAACGCCGATCGTGGTTGGAGAGTCAGCCTTTTGCTTTCACACCAGGCCCACTCCAGTTAACACGACCAAAATGAGGAACGCAATGGACTCTGGCCAGGATTAGCAGTTTTAAAGCAGGAATACATTATTTCTCATCTAATTAATCCCATTACTTGAGCGAACAGAATCCATTATGCAGAACTGTGGATGGCAAAAACAGTGGTGAGGGCAAGTTTGTCACGGAGCCTAGAGAACAGCTAAAGTGAGGCTGAAGTGAGGAAATACATTTAAAATATACAGAAGGTCAAAATGGGCAGAACACTTTAAACAGGAAGAAGAAGTAGCACGAGTTTTGCAAAAAATTAAACATGGGCCATGAGAAAATACATGCACTGAGCAAACGAGAGCAAGGTTTGGCGCGAGTGTCTTACATCAGTGACGACGATGAGGAGACGGAGAGTCTAAAACTAAGAAAGAGGGCAAAGCACCACCCCCAACTTGGCCTTGAAGAGTCGCACTTCCACAAGACCACAAACGCCTGGTTCTAAATAACAAAGACGGTAAAGGGAGAGGTCGGCATATGAGGCTCAAGTAACGGTTAAAAAATGATCGTTGCAACAACACAAACACCCTTTTTAAGCCACGGCGGGAAACGATCAGAAAAGCCCGGTGTGCTGTAAGAAGCCATGAGGCACGATAATCGGGAAGATACTACAGTGTATTTAAACACGGAGATGCCTGACGATGCTGACGTGCACATACATTGCCACCGGAGTGACGGACGCTGAAGGAGAGCCATGCCTACTCAGCACTGTGCGTGGTGAGAGCCTATTCAATGGTGCAGTATAGGCCACGGCCACCGCACTGACTCCTGGGGATGGCCTAGACCCGTAGTCAGCAAACTTCAGCTTGTGAGCCACAGGCGACTCTTTGGCCCCTTGAGTGTGGCTCTTCCACAAACACCACGGCCTGGGCGAGTCTGTGTTGAAGAAGTGGTGTTAGAAGAAGTTTAAGTTTAAAAAATGTGGCTCTCCAAAGAAATGTCAATCGTTGTCCTGTTGATATTTGGCTCTGTTGACGAATGAGTTTGCTGACCACTGGCCTAAATCAGTGGTCGGCAAACTGCGGCTCACGAGCCACATGTGGCTCTCGGGCCTTTGAGTGTGGCTCGGTGTTAGGGCCATTTCTTTAAAACAGACTCGCCCAGGCCGAAAACCGGCTTCTGCGCATGGGCCACGAAGTTTCAATCGCACTGGACGTGGGCACCTGCACATGGTATTTTGTGGAAGAGCCACACTCAAGGGGCCAAAGAGCCACACGTGGCTGGTGACTTGCCAATCACTGACCTAGACACAGACAAACAGTATGACATTCAGAATGCTAAAGATCTCTCTCAGCCTCAGCACAACAAGAAGATCTCAGAGGCCCAACTTGGAAGGAGGATAATCCAGTCAGAGACGCGCAGCATAAAATACAGACATATTCTCCACTGTGGCGACGACAGGACAGCCTGGGAGTCCAGGACACATTTTTATTTCTAAAATAAAAGTGCAGTGTGTGTTTCTAAATACTTTGTAACGCAGACTTTAAAAAGGATTCCCATGAGAATCTCACCAAAGCCATACGTAGGTATCATTCTCAGGTTATTCACATGCCATTTCCTGTAGAATGACAGGAAAGCTATCGTCTGAACATACATGCATGTTAAACCTATGTACTCCCATCAGCAGCTGTCTACACTGGCATGCGGGTGGCATCCCCTTTGATTTGATGCCCCTTCGTTGGCATGCCCTGCACTGTTTATTACTGATCACCCTGTCATAAAGGATTATGACCTTGACATAATTTTGAACATCATAAGACAATTTATGCAATTTAGTGTTTTTTCTCTCTCTCTATAGAAGCCTCATTCTAAAATTAGGACAAAACATTGCAAATATTTTATCCCATGTAGGAGAGTCCATTCATTTGAATTCTAACAACTCGTGAGCCTGGGCCAGTGGAGAAAAAGCAGTCTGTGTGTTCATGTGTCACATGTCATAGAAATTTGACATTGACAACACTTTTGAAAACCTGCTTCCAAGAAACTGTTTTTGAAAGTTTGCAGGTTTTATTCCTTTTATAGCTCGGAAATTTGGTGTAAAATTTACTTGTACAAGCGCCTCACTTCTTACACGCACCCACCCGAGCGAAACACCGCACCTCAGCCGGGAACGTGATTTATACGGAGACATTTCCAAAACAACAAAATAATATTTTTCCTGCGTGAAGTCAGCCCTGAAGCATCTGCCTTCTAGGGGAATGGTGCTCTGAGAGGAACCGCATTCTGTGAAGTCAGCAGTGCTGCAAAGTGCCATTGTAAGCGACAAAGCTCTGAACAGACAGCGGCAGAACCCTGTTTGGGAGCTTCCTCCCCGTTCAGAATGTCACGCCTGGCTGTGGGCCGCACCTGCATGATGGGAGTAACGGGGACACATGGGGCCGGCTGGCACACTGCGGAGGCAGAGTGCGCACGCCTGTGGGCAGAGAGGACCACTGCTCGCCGTGTGATAGAGGAGCTTCGTGGCAGTCTTTGCACATGGCGTGATTTGTTACGTTGGATCACACATGTAAACATGTTAGTAACCCATGTCTCCGTTAGATTTTTACTTCTTTTCAAAAAATGTTTGTATTGATTTTAGAAGGAGAGGAAGGTGGGGGTTGATTTGAGAGAGAGAGAGAGAGAGAAAGAGAGAGAGAGAGAGACCTGCTGTTTCCAGCATGGGCACGCCCTACTGGTGATAGAGCCCACATGGCGGGCATGTGCCCAGGAATCTCACCGGTGACAGAATGATCCTCAACCAGTGGAGCCACGTGGGCAAGGGCTAAATTTTCACTTCTTATTTGAACTCAAGGTCATAAGCAAAGTCACATTTAGTGAGTTAGTCTAGGACTTCCTAGACCCGTGGTCGGCAAACTACAGCTCGCGAGCCACATGCGGCTCTTTGGCCCCTTCAGTGTAGCCACAAAATACCACGGCCTGGGCGAGTCTATTTTGAAGAAGTGGCGTTAGAAGAAGTTTAAGTTTAAAAAATGTGGCTCTCCAAAGAAATGTCATTCGTTGTCCTGTTGATATTTGGCTCTGTGGACTAATGAGTTTGCTGACCACTGTACTGAACTAAAAAGAAAATCAGATCTATCTCAGCACTCTGATTTGAGAATGAAAGTATCTGAGAGAATTCTTAAGACTAATAAGCAAAAGTTATAACAAATACTTTTCAGACTAAATGAATATTTGGGTCTTTGGCATCATGAACTTGGTTATGACAACTAGTGAACTCGTCACTGAGCAGTATTACTAAGTCTAATGGCAGGAAACCATACAAATGCAATGCTGATTAGGTCAATGTCAATGAGTGGAATTTCTCACTATTCATCACTATTTTTGTGTTTTCATAAAATTTGTATTTAAGAAAAATGTGTAAAATGAAGACGCATAAGAATGTAAAATATACTGAGGGCTTCCTTTTGCTAGTTTTCTAGAAGACATCAGGGAAAATAAGGAACAACACTGAACATCCTTTGAACTCACCTCTGATAGACTAATTTATTTGGGAAACTCCAATAATGGCTCTTTTAAAGGTGAGTCACAAAGAGAGTAATTTTTCTTTATTCGTGGGTGGGAGTGCCCAGATGTTGGGCACTGTATAGGGGCACTAAGCTCTCCTGAGCCCTTTTCATGAGCTGAGACTTGCTCTACAGTCCTCTGTCCACTTCTTGTTTTCCACGGCTGATGTCTGTACACAGCACTTGGTCTATTTATTTCAGCTGATGAAAAAAAAAACTGGAAGCAAATTTAAAATTTAGAAGGTGCTGTGTCGAGTTTTCAATAACTACTTTACACTTTCTTAAATTCTTCACAGTATAAATGGATTTTCCTGGAACCCGTTTTTGTTGTTATAATTGTTATTTTTCCAACTATGTGTCCTGTTATCAGTTATAGTTCAAACTTTCCTGAATAAAAAAGTGACATCTCATTATTAAGACATCATCGACATCATTATTAATGCATCCACTCCTATGACAATCCAATCTCTTGGTGACAGAAACACAGATTTTACTTTCTCTTTATCACAGGGAAAATTTAAACATCACCGATTCTGCTACACACACACACACACACACACACACACACACACACTGAACAGCTGGAAAATGCTGTGGGAGGTGGCAGGGTCTGGTGCTTAAGAGTATGGGCTCGGGAATGGTTCACGAGGGTCGGGCTCTGGTTCTGTTACTTCCTCGCTGGTTCCCTCCCTGGAGTTTTAATAACGCCCACCTGCCCAGGCTGTTGGGCGCATTCAGAAGGTAAGGTTAACAGAGAAATTCCGCTTTGTGCCCGGCGGATGGTAAACAGTCAGTAACTATCAGGTACCATGAATTCATCG